AAACGGTATAAAAATTAAAATTAAAGCACCAAAAAGTAATCCATATCAAAAACCTACCCCTAACATTAAAATGTAAATTCGCCACACTTTATTTTATTTTTGTATTATTTTATTTCATTTTATTGCCGGGTGTATTTGAATTAGGAAATCCTCCGGTCGAGAATAAAAGCGAATAAAAATCCCGCGCGCGATATAAAAAGCGAAATCCACGCGCCACGCAAAAGGGGATGAAATGCGATGTTGGAGGCGGCTGCGGAGGCGGCAATAAACATATTCATAGGTGATGACTCCCACTTTGCGCGCGCGGACGCGACCGTCGCCCGCGTATAAAACCATAACATTTGCAAGTTAAATTCCATAAACGCCGGCGCGCCGAAAACCACCCCTAAGAAGACACCCTTGAAACAAACCACTGCGATGGAGTAAATTCTTTGTTTCATATTTTCATAAACTGCACTGGTAAATTGTGCACTGAGTTATACAATGTGCATTGTGGTGATTTCAAGGACATTAAGAACCACAGTCATAAATTTTGTGAAAAATTTACAATTTTATGAGACTTTATAAAATCGCGAAGAAACGCAAAACTATCAATGGTTTAGCTTTGGGTGACTGGGTGGTTTGTGTGTGCGCGGGGATGAAATATACGCAGGGATGCGATTCACTAGGGGTGCACAAGAAAATTGTGAATGTGGGTAATGACTTTCTGGCCTTCTGGGGCGCAAATATTACCCTCACATCTCTTCGCCGAAAGTGTGGTATGCAGATGAAACAGATGAGCGTGTAACGCGGAGGCGGCGGCAGTGGCGGCAGAGGCTGCGCGTCCGGATGATTGATCGGCGCGGCTAATTGGATGATCGATGGGCTTTAGTTCATCAAGGATGGCCCTTCACTGCCATTCCGGAATTAGGCCGTGTCGCATTTTCGCCGCATCACCGAACAAGTCCAAACGCGAGTCATCCATACCAGTGACACTCAAAATTTACAAACCGCTTTTAGAAACATTACATCTTTTATAGTACATTAAGTATCAAGTGGCAAAACAAGAGTTTTCCAAGCTCCAACCCGTGACTAAAGCCTGTGACTAAAATACTTTAGTCACGGTTTTGGCATTCCGTGTCTAAAATATTTTAGTCACAGGCTTTAGTCACGGGTTGGAGCTGTCAAAACAAGATTTTAGCAAGCTCCAACCCATGACTAAAGCCTGTGACTAAAATACTTTAGCCACGGTTTGGGCATTCTGTGTCTAAAATATCACTTTTTGAGTGTCTGATTTTGAGTGATACCAAGACGATGTCTACATATGTGAATTTCTTCCGTCCTTCCGTCCTGTAGACCTTCAAAGGATGGTGTGATGCAAGGATAATCAAATAAACGTGTGTTTGCATAGGAGTCTAGACTAGTTTTCCCGTTTTCTCAACTTTTCGCTAGTCAGACACTTCCTAATTTTACTTTAATTAAGGAGTTACCCTTACGTCCTGGGGGTGGCTTTTACCCTCTCCGCGAACACATTACTTGGCGTTTTCTCGCCGAGCTTAATTAAAGCTATTATTAACCGGTCCACATTCGCATAACCCTTTGAGTTATTTCCTATATTCCGCCTGTGCATTTGCAGAGTTGCAGAATTTGCGGACGGAAAAAAAAAGGAAAAATCGAACGAAAACATTCAATTATCGTGTTATTAGTGCCGCGTCTGATGCAAAACGCCACGCGCGTTGGTAAAGGAATGAAGCGCGGTGGGATAGACTGTCGACTGCGGATGCGATTAGAAATCCCCGGCTCGGGCGAAATTGCAACCCTCTTAAGACCACCAGCAGCCGTCGGCCGGGAGCAGCATGTGTTGGATTTCCATTAAACAGCTTCGTCTGGAAACAATCAGACCGAGCGACCGACGGAATTGATTCGCATCGGGGGTCCATTACGTGCCGCGGCGCAAGGAGTCGTCTTCAATTTTAGTCTCAAAAATGAATTTCAAATATTCTACATTTAAAACCATTTGGGAAGCAAAAAAAAAATAATGTAAATCGCAATTAATACCGGTTAACCGGTTTCTGGCCAATAGTTTATCAGTATTTTGATTCAATATTCTAGAAAAATCTTCAATTTTTTGATGAATTAGCGAAAAATAATTTTTGAAATATTAACACCGATGTATAAAATATGTTTTTCCAAATGAGGATGTAAAATGTTTGAGTTATGGCACCCGCGCAAATTAATCATGTGCCTTGTGGCAACATGGTAACTAATCTTGTTGTGGGGTACTGACCGAAAAGGTCTCGGTCTCGGTCAGCATACTCTCGCCCACTCCACGCCGGGTCCTCGATGACCAGATAAGATAATGCGAAATCAAAATAAATCGCGTATAAATGAGCACACGGCCCTCGAAGCATAAACACGCATTTATCTCGTGTGCGCGCGCTCAAAACAACCCCGGCTCGCTTTTTCCGGACCTTATACCTTCGTCGCGAGAAGAAGGCATTAATATGTAGGGGCGGCGGTGGGGCCGAAGAGCCGTGCTGGGACGCATTTCTGGTCGACGGCGGCGGCGGCAGTGGCGGCGCGGCGCGCGTCGCTCCCTTATGTGTGTCCGCCGCAGATTCCGTCGCCTAATTAAGACCGGCGAGCGTCTCTCCCCTCAGCCGCCCCATTCGCCATCCACCCCAAGAAGGGGGATATTGATCAAGTCGCAGCGCGCAGACGGCCGCGCGTTATTATTTTGCGGTCTCTCGCTCACTGCGCCAGACGAAAACCCGAAAATTAACCGTGTTTGCGTTAAAAATTTAAGAGCCACCCCTTCATTTGCATCCCTTGGCTGAGATTCGAGATTTGACATATTCCACGCATGGGTGTAATAATCACACTCTCGGTTTTAAATAAAAATAAAATAAATTATTTGGCGCGGGGGTAAATATGAGTCGATTTGATTAAAAAGCCATTAGGGTGGTCGCAAATGCAATATCTAATTCACGCAAAACGAGACCAACATTTGGTGTGTATGATAAAAAGGGTTGTGGGCTGCGAAAATTTAAAAAGCATGTTCAAACCTCCAGGGTCATGATGGTAAAAATTAAAATTAAGTCGGTGGTGCCTTTGCGGCTTGCGAGTGCAATAAATTGCAATACAGCGCGCTTCTTAACCCTTTTACAGCCTATCGGAGGGCAATAAAGGGGTTCATAATACCCTTACCGCATTGGAACGCAACTTTTCATCCCCTTGAACAAAAAATAATGCCGCTATATGTATGCAGGTCTGTGTTTCAAGGCAATTTTCTTAAGAAAACAAGCGCCAGTCAAAAATGTTGAATTTTAAGGGTAGTTTGGGGGTGAGAATGATTTTGACTGCATGCAATATAGGAAAATGTGAATATGTGACAATGGCGTTCTGAAATAGTTTCTGCTTTTCGCACATACATGCAATCTGCACTCGCTCACAATATCTCATCTCGTGAGCTAAGGGCGGTGGACAAAAGCCACCCCGACGACGACGTCGGCGGCGCACCTGCCGAAGTTTGACCGCACAATGCCTACATCGCTTTCGAGTGAAGCGGCGACGCCGAATGCGCTTTCCTTCGCACAATGCCGGCAAGTGCGGACACCTCACCCTTTTACTCTGGTGGGTGAGCAAATGGGGGTGAGTTGTGCCGGGCGCTGGTTCAATATGTTGCCCAGTTCGGAAACGCTTCGAAACGTCAATTCGTTGTCGCCGTTGTACAACTGTGTACAACTTGGCGAGCAAGGAGTGAAATTATCCTTCGTTGCCGCCACCATCGCCGCCGCCGCCGCCAAGCAATGATTGCTTATGTCGGCTGCGTCACCACGTTTTGAAGGCTTTCATTTCGAGGGACGCGAATGCACATGCATGTGCTGCGCCCGACACACCGGGCACTGTGCACGTTATTTCAATATGCCAAATATCCAAATTAAATTCCAAACTAATCTCGCACCGTGTTTCAACTTCAACTTTAACTTCGACTGCAAGAAGTCGGAAAAGTAATTATCGGAAATTTATAACGTAGGCAACTCAACTAGCATATTTATTGACTTGTGATTTTAAATTAGACATAACCTTATTTGAGCATTTTATATGCATTAGTTTTACGTTGCACATGTTTGATTTAATCCAGTACGAGCTTAATTTATAATTTTCTCAGCCTGTGTGGGTGAGAATTCATCTTTTGAGAGCTTATTAAAGAAGCAATCTCGGCGGGGCGATGCAACATCGACTCCGAAGTCGACGGGTGTTTTATTAGTCGTTCGCGGCTCATGAATTACCCAAAAGCAAAACCAGACCGCATCGGTTTAGCGGCTTAATCCAAACGCCGCCGCCGCCTCCGCCACCGCCCCCGGTTCGGTTCGATAATGCCAAAAAATAATTAATTGCCTTCGCCAAGCACGCCAGACCAACTTAAAACGCACGTCAATGACATCGAACACGACTTAGTCCTTACGTTCTTATGTCTGGATAAAGAAACGCAAATTTATTCACGGAAAAAAAATGTCCTTATGTACATAATTAATATTTTTTATGTAGTTTACGTTTTTCCGGAAAAATATATTTTTGAGAGAGATTTTTGTGGAGTTAATGTTGTGTCCGCAAAAGGGCAATTTGCACACTTTGTAAACCGCATCACGTACGCGGTGGCGGCGGCTGGAGGCGGCGAGAAATCACCGCCTCCGTCGCGCAGTCGAGTGACACGAAAGCGCACGGTAGATGTCAGAAAGGGATTTAATTAAGGCGCCGGCGTAAAAAGCCTTCCGGAAGGTGGTAGCATGCGGTGTACGGGGGGCAGCAAGCAGAACACCATCACCTCGTCGTTTTTTCTTCTCAATTTTTCAACTTTCAACCACTTTATATTTATATATCACTCAGATGGACAACCCTTTTAAAAGTCGCGACAAGTAAATGCAATTTGTGCTTTTATCACATATAATATGTGTCATTTTTCGTCGCGGATGTCAAAAATGTTCCTTTAAAAACGTGTTTTTTGTTCTCCATTGCAGATCTGACCATCCATGGCCGCAACGCCAGCTCGAGCCCGACCAACTTGGCAATGAAACAAGTAAGTTTCCTATCGAACAGTCTAACAGGTGTCATATTATCGCTAATGTCACAATGTCATCATAATAGATGACGCGCATTGTCCGCCGCCCCCGCCCCCATAAATTTTTATCAATACCATTTCATCGCACTCGTTGGAATTCTTGACTTGACTTCCTTACGCTCCCCTAATTCTAATTTTTATTATTGTTATAATGATCGGCGCTCTCGACACTTGCTTCCCTTTTTTTTTCGCTCTTCGATTGTTCAGAGTGCGAAAACCCTCCGGGCGGGTATTCGGGGACAAATTTCCTGCCGCCAGGACAACGCGAGGATAATAAAAGATAAAAATCTCACGTTTCCTTAATTTTTTTTTATAGATTTTGACTTGATTTTTATTGAAGGTTAATGTTTTTATTATCCTTGCAAGGATAATATCAGATTTTATTTATTTTTATATTTTTGGCGGTGTTTAAATTAATTAAAAGAATTGCTGACGAGGAAAACGCATTTAATCCGACGTTTTCCATGGATTAGCGCGCCAGTGCCGATGCCTTTGCCCCCGGGTACCTCCAGCAGGAAATAAGGAATATTAGGCAGCCGAAACTGCATCGCTCGAAAGCGAATAAATGAAAACGAACGGAACGAAGTGAGGCCGCGGGGCGGTGGTGGGTGGCGGCTCGTCCTCATCTACATATGTTCTCGTCAGCTGGCGCTTTGTTTCCTGCGGGACGAGATGACGAAGGGCGGCGGCACGGCTTATTACGGATGCAAAATTTCCCATTCATATTCAAAATTTTATATCCCAGTTTTACCACTAATTTATTCAGCCGCGCCGCCACCGCCGCAACCCTCAGCCGCCTCCTAAGCGGTTTTCGGCGAGTAGCTGTCTTTGCGACACGTTCTAAGCTGAATTTGAGTAGCGGCGCTTCTTTCCGAGCAAAATCTAATGGCAAGAAAGCTTCCTTGCGCCACAAACGTTACTAATTCCGGGCGAACCGCACGAATATTTTAATTTAATAACTAAATCCAAATCAAAATATAAGTGACAGGGGTGCGGGGTACGATGGTGGACTGGTTGTGGAATTGGAAACATCAGAGCCTCTTAATCTCGTTTGTTTCCGCGGCGTAGAAATTCGAAAATATTTTCAGCGTTGAAATATTTTTTATGTTCTTGGAATGGTGGAGGCGCCGCGTTTGGAGATTGACATGATTGATGATTGTACACCACATCACACATAACGGCAGCGCTGAAATAGCCACCTGTTGTTTGACATATTAATGCGGCGTGTGCGCGCGCGAGGCACGCACTTTACCGCCGCCGCTGCCGCCGCCATACCGCAAAGCACCATTGTGTGTGCGGTGGCGGTGCGCGCCCGATTCATATGCGTAACCTTCGTATCATGTGTGTCGTGTGTCGTCAAAGCACCCCCGTGGGAATCGAACGCAAACATAATTTAACTACTTGCATGATATAACCTAAAAATGTTTACTTTAAAACATATAGAATGGAGTATGAATGGAGAAGGAAAGTTTTCGGAAAGATAACTTTTGTTTTGTTTCGTTTTGGTGTTGTAAACAACACATAAGATTGAACGTTTCTTTAATGCGTAGTATACGTATATGACTTGAGGTTTGAGGTTATGTTGCGTTAGGTTAGGTTAGAGATAAAATCATGAAATTGAGTGACCAACTGCACCCTCGAGTGTCTTTCGTAATGCATAGATATGCGATCCATCTATATCTACATTTGTATCCGTGATTTATTTCCAACTTGAACATTCTCCCACACCGCGGCCATTCATCTTGTTGTGATCAATTTGCATTTTGTTTCTTTTGAAATATTTTCCGTAAATATCCATAAGAATTTAACGGATACTTAAAAATATTTGATTGAAATTAAATAAATTAATTTTGTGATGGTGTGTTGTTGACATTTCAATATCAACCTCAAACCACACGTTTGAAGTTTTGTGGATTTTTCAACTCTTGTGGGGTGGTTGTCTCGCGAGAAAAGATACACGCATACGATCAGCGTCTCGTCTCGATTTCTATTCATGCGGGTGGAGGGTGCGCGTGCAGATTACGCCTAATGTATGCCACCTGTGCTCCGCGCTCAGGTCCCATGAGTTTCACGAGGATTTTACGCAAAAAGATTTTTAAACCACGCGGATAACATCCTCAAATTATACCCTAAAAAGGATATTTTTGTTTATTTAATTTTTACTTTTATATTTAGCTTTTTTCAACGTAGAATTTTATAAAAATTGATTTTTGGATCAATTGAGTGTCAAATCGGTCAATAAGTTTCTTAATTTTAATTTAGAGATATAAAAATGCTTATTAAACGCCCTTTAGGTTGATATTATATAACTATAACTATGATTTAACTATTTATCAACTTTCAACCCTTATTTTACACCATTAAAAATATATATTTTTGCAACAAAAAGTAGTCTATTTCCTTTTCTATAGTTTAAAATATCTGTATACCAAAATTTATCAAAATCGGCTCAATGGTTTTGGTTTAAAACCGTAACAAACAAACACATATTAAAATTTCTACTATTAGTTGGGATTAAAACACTTTGTATATTGAGATAACTACCGGAACGTCATTTATGTCATTACGATTGTTCACGATGTTGGTATGTGCGGTGTGTGCGGCTACATGCATTATAATGTAATCGACGACACATTATTCCTTCGAAACGGTGGCGGCGGGCGCATAAATAATTCGTCGGGCTCTTGAAGGCGTCGGCGTCTCTACGCGCGACGATGATTGATAATCAATATAAATGACATATTAATATGTCTTTTCCACACCTCGATTACATAGGTGTGCTGGTGGTGGCGCGCCAAATTGATTTCCATTAAGAATGCTCCGAAAAGGAATCCGGTTTTCGTAAATTCATAGTTAATGCGATGTGACACCAAGAACACAGGCGCACAAATTATCTGCATTAGACCACCCCTCGTACAACATATTAAATATCCATCTGTGTCGACGAAATCTAACGAATCTTTCGAAATCACACGCGTATCTGTGTCAATTGTGTGTTGTTGTTGTGAAACGAGTGAAACGTTATTTTTGGATCAATTTGTTGGAAAATATCGTGGACATTGAGAAGATTTCAAGAAGTCATTAAAAGTTTGCGCGCAACTTTACGGTATTTACTGGCAACGTGTTTTTATAACGACTTATGAATAACGAGTGGGTGGTATTGTGATGGGGAGCAATTTAATAACAAAACTCGAATGCACGAGTGTAGCGAACTGTAGTCAAGTGGGTATTGTAGTCTACTGCGCATGCGCAAGAGAATTAGTGATAGAGTGGGTTTCATTATTTACGAGTTACTATTTTCACTTTATTTCGTCTAACAATGTATTTACGTTGGTAATTTAAAAACGCGCAGTTTACTGCGCATGCGCAATAGACTTAACGATGCTGTAGTACTCTGCATTATTCACGCTTCCGTTTTTTTACTGAATTTTATTCTGCACTGCATTTACGTTAGTTATTTGAAGACTTATTATCTTATAATCCAGTAGCGTCTCGGTGGTCTTTACTTCTCATTCCAAAGTCACGTCGCCAGCGTCGTTGCGGTCTCATTTCTCCGCCGTAACATACGCTCGTATGTCACCGTTACAGGCCTGAAGCGGCCGCAACGACACGCTTTACACACGTTACATTACGTGTACCTCTACTCCGCCGTTTACGTTTCGGTCGACTGCAGCAGCAGCATCAGCTCCAGCAGCAGTTGAATTGGTAGTTGTGGGTGTAGTGTGTGTATGTTTGCCTGCTTGGCTAAGCGAGACTAACTGCGCGTCCTTAGCGCCGCGGCGAAGGAATCCTGTTGTGCCCTTGTTGGGCTAATGTATCAGACAGGCTGATGAAGACAACTCACCCGCTGGGGACGGCGTGCGCTGAGACCGCCGTGGGAGCATGGGAATATGGGATTTCAACCCTGGCCCCAGACATATGAACAAATTTTAATGGAAAAAACTGAGATTTTTTTCCGGCGTTTTTCATCAAATTACATTCGGTAATAAATTTATAATATAATAATTTATTCAAAGCCCCAAACGGTGTAAATTTTATTTTGTGGCTGTGGATACACACACACTTGTAGGTCACATGAAATAATAATTACGTAAATTTGATTTCCGTGCGGGGTGCGCTCGGCGCTGTTTGCCTCGTTTTTTTTTCGCGCTGACTTTTTATCGCCACCCTCATTGCGCTGCGTGTACTCTACCTGCCTGCATCCCCGATCTAATTGGGAAAATTTGTCCAAACGCGTCCCGTGAAGCGTATTTTCCTCAATTGCGTTTTAATCATTTCCAGCTCGGCTCTTATCCAATTCGTTGCTACCTTTTTTTATTCGTTTATTCATTGCATTCAAGGATCACGAAGCAACAGACGCAACAGCAACAACTGTTGATTGATCCTGTTACAAATCATTCTGTTGAATTTAATCCAAAATGTTACAAAAATGTTTTATATTTTAATTTTAATTTAAATGTCGAATGTGTTCCCGGCAGAAATTAAAAATTGCAAATGCAGGTTTTTTTCAAACGCGAAATTTGTTCTCTTTTTCCACGATGAGGGGTGATTCCAGTCAGAATTCGAATACGAATTGATTTGTTCGACTGCCACACAGCCCGTGACGTTCGGCGTTTGGCGGCGGCGGGGGTGGATGTCTGCAAATATTGAAATATGCACCCTCCGCTGCGGCGCGCTTGCCTGTTTATTATTTTGATTGACATGTTTGGCGAGGCTAATTTTTATATTTTTCCGAGGGCTGCTTGCATCGTTTTACGGTTTTGGCACTCGTTACAGATTAGCCCACGGCGAATAACTACATACAGTGTGTTTAGTTTATATTTAAAATTAAATTAAAGCATAAAAATATTTAATTTAATAATTTTAAAAGTTTTTGCGCAGCTGATAAACTTCGAATGTGATTTGGCGTGTGTAAATCCTTGAAATTTCATTTTCATTCAGCCGCGTTGTTCGAATTTCATAGAAATCGGTTTTTCATAGAATGCGACGCCTGATACGCCGAAGCGTTTGTTTTTATCGCCAGCGCGTTTTGTTTCTCACGAGTTTTACCTGGCCGTGAGCCGTAAGCGCACAGCGAGAACAAAGAAAACTTTCGACAATGGCGCGAACGCTGGCAAGGAAAAATCCTCTTTGCGCGCACAGCGCACACGCGTATTGATGTTACAAATGCGATTTCGATGAAATTTGCGCTGAAAGCACCTTTCGGACGGGGCGGAAATAAAATCTGATAATGTTCACTCAACAGATGCACGATCAAAAAATTTCTAAAGATATTTAATCACCATACATATTTAAAAAAACAAAATTTTTTCTTCTCTAAAAATTTTAATCAATATTTTAATAAATACAAAAGAAAAATGTGAATCACATCCTGAATTATCTACTTTTACACGCGCTGCGTCCTGGTTTCGGTTTCCAGGGATTAGTGATTGAAACTCTTATTTCGAGGTTGTAATGAATAAGGGAACAGTCGTTGGCGCGCTGCGGCGACAAAAAAAAACGGCGCGCTGCAAAGAAAAAGCATCGACGTCGTCGTCGTCCTTCGCTTGGCACGGAATGCTAATCACTGGCCTGGCTTGTGTGTGTCCCTCTGTTCCTTATTCGGACGGACAGCACCGCCAGAAGCCTCGCCGCCGCTGCCGGAATAATTAATTAGACTTCTTTGGGCATATTCTACGTGCCGCCTGCGTTCGCATTTTTTTCTTCGTGCAGCTGAGAGTCCTCGCTGCTCATTACATTAAAATTAGATTTAAAAATGTGGAAATTGTATCGCTGATTGCAATCCCAGTGAAGGATTTCCAGCTGCGGAGTGGTTGTTGTGTGCGTTTGCTCGACTGCAAACACAACGAGCCAACTTTAAAGTGGATTTTCAATTAGACGCAACACACAACATGCATTTACATTATTACTACCCTTAAATACAGAAAAATAAAAATAAAAAAATCAATACAACGTAATTTTCTCTGTTGCAGGGTGCACATAGTCAACAATCAAAGAAGTCGTTAAAAAAGAAAACCAACACGTAAGTAATATTTATTTTTATATTTATTTATTGCAGATGAATGACGTAGGACGTTGAATCTCTATTATCCTTGCAACTGATTTGAATGTGCGCATAAAAATCGGATTTGTTCCTTTTGCGCCGCTGCGAATCGAAAACACATTTGCTGCGATATGTATTCTCGGGCAATAAAACTTGCGCTGCCAAACCGATATCATGATATCCTGCATATCCTGGCGGGCAGGCAGGCGAGAGCAATAAAACTTTTGTTGTCAGCTCGTATATACATCCACGTATCCATAACGTATACGGGAGATATGCGCACCTCTAAGATTCACCCTTCACATGGGGGTAGATTCATATCTTGGTGCTATCAATACTGGAAAAACTTTCAAATTTTCCTCTCCTTGCAACTTTTGGAAAATACTATACTATGATTTACGGGATTGAGGTTTTTTTCGGCGTAAAATTTGAAATTTTCATTCCTCTGCGCGTTTTTTTGTGATGTATCGCTGTACACAGTGTTTATTATAAAGTAATAAGCGTCTCGGTAATAAAAAGGCGGTTTTGCGGTTTCCGGCGGAAAAGCGCGGTTATATAAATCTTTATAATGCTCGCGCGCTGTGCGGTGGTTGCGCCGGCTGTAATAATAACAACCCTTCGCGCCGGTGTGCAGCGCCTGCCACTTACCGTGTTATTTCCCGCTTGTTACTCCCGTACCTGCCGTTGCGTCGCGTTACGACAAGCTTCCCGGCGCGGTTCATGCTTCTCGAAGGACGACTACACGCCGAGTGAGCGTGCGAGGGGCTGGCGAGGGGGTTGGCAGCGCATTATCCGCTAACCGCAAGACGCTCGCCTTGGCACAGTCAGGCACTGACACGCCAAGGTGGAGAAAGGTACGAAACGCAAATTATATTAAACATTTTCAACCTGGATTGTATTTTTTTTTTAAATTGGGGGTTTTTGGAGTGCTAGTGAAGTGGAAAAAATTTAGGTGAATAATATGTAGTATTCTACTTAATTTTTATTTTTTAGAAGGAAAATAATCAAATTTTTAGTTTAAAAATATAAAAAATTTATAACTTAGATTTTTTAAAGATATGTCAGTCAAAATGTCCAGTAGTGAATAAAATAAGAAAAAATATAAGAAAATCCCCCCTATAGCTGGTCGGAAAAACGCAGATAAATCTACTTCGAATTTACGATCGTTCTCAAAGCAAGTCTGCAAAGGATTTAGTTACTTACACTTATCGAAGATTTTTTTTCTCCGTTTTTCGATCCCCGTGAACGTTTGGCAAGGATTCATAGTTCATACACGGTTTTCGGCCGGTGGAGAAAAGTGGGTGACGCGGTGCCAACCGGGGGCGGCACGAATTTCACGCCCATATATCACGCCGCCGCACGTATGGCGCATAGGCGCATAAATCACCCCGTTTGCCAGAGGTCGCACATGCGACATGCTACGACGACACTTTTCTAAGGTGCTTATAGTCCTAGTCGATTTTCCAGAAAAAAAAATGAGAAAAAATAAAAATCAGTACTTGGATTTAAATTTTACAATTTTAATTATATTTGTTCAGTGGATAATTTCCGCTGTGTTTGGATTGCGTAAACGTAAGGGTTGTGCACTCGAAAAGTCATCAGACGTTGCCGTTTCGCAGGGTTTTGAAGCGGGTCGAACGGGTTGAGCATGCGAACACACTCGAGCGCACCCGCAACCCTCATCCTCGTCAGTGTTTTCACATGCGGCACATTACTCGACATTGGAAAACATGACTAGAAAAACTCACAAAATTACAGAAGAAAAAAAATTGAAGCTTTAAAAACTAATTTGAAATTTTTTTCCGATTTTTTTTTCTAAAAAATGAAAACTTTGAGTATTATTGACGTTTCATTGACAGTCTTTAATTACTACCCTCTAGATGCACACATATGGTTTATTACCGTAAATCTCTTGAGATTACCCCCCTGGACGCGGGTGGCTCGTGAAGCGGAATTGAAAACTGTCCGAATTTTTGCGCATTTTGTCGGCGATTTTTTGCAGGGTGCAAAAGTGTTGAGTCACCGCCCGACTCCATCGTTGCTATCTCTGCGCGCCACCTCCGCCGCCCGAGAGAAGGTTTTCCGTGTTCGCAGCGAGTGCGGATTTTTTCCGCCGCCTTCCGCAAAGATGCGGAGCGCGTTTTTTGCGCGCGCCGCGCGTGGGGATGCGCTCGCGTCACTCACTGCGAATTACGCCACTTCACAAACACACGGGTTTAATCTTTTTTAAAGAGGGTCCGCACGCGCGTACGCTCTAGTTTAGCTAATTAAGAACCATTTAAAACGTCATTTCATATTTGCGGCAACCGGAAAAAAGCCTCAACTTGTTTAAACTCGCTGCCCAAAATTAACTGTTTAATTCTTTCGGTGAAACAAAAAATTTTAAAGTAAAAATGTAATATTTTTGTTTAAGGGTTGTAAATTTAAGGGTTGAAGATGTTTTTGTGATATTTTTATATGGATGCACTATCGATTTGTTAATTTATGCGTTTTGTTTCAAATGAATGCATTTGCGGTAGTAAATGAAACTTTTCGGGTCTTTGGGGGGCGGCGCGCGGATTTGTATGTCAGTGTAGTAAAAAGTTTCAGTTTATAATTTCCCTCGTTCGCAAAGTGTTGTATAAGTTGGTCGAGTTTTGAGTTGATGGCGAGTTTGTTTCCGCGGTGGGGGAATGTTTTGGTGTCGGGTTTTCGGACCCGCCGCCGCCGTTGCCATTTTGTCCTTGCAAAAGTCGACGCTCCCGCCGCGCCGTGCCGCGAACTTCGGAAACACAAATTACACTTGGTACTTTCTCTCGCTGCTGATGGCGGCGGCGGCGGCAGCGCCGCGCATGAACTAGTTAAGGAAACTTGATGGGGTAGGTCGACGCCGCCGCCGCCGCCGCGTCCAACTTTTTATTTTTAATGATTACTTTGGCCGTTTTCCTTCCGCCACCGCCCCTCTCGCGAGACTTCTTGTTCTTGTTCACTTCTTCGACTTTGACTCGCATTGAACTTGGGGAAAATTGACTTGGAACTTGCGAGACTTCGAGTTGGAGTTCTTGTTCTTCTTCTTCGCGCCAGCAGGGGGATGGAGGTGGACGATGCACATGCAGAAATGTAATAAAAACTAAACTAAAGTAAAAGTATCCTGACCCCAAAACGCCGCGAATCCAACTTTCGATTCAAACAATTCCAAGATGAGTTACAACTAGGGGCTGAAATTAAATCAACCCTCATCGGGTACACATCCCTCTTAAAAAAAAGAATCCGTGGGGAATGAAAACGAGGGCATTGAGTACATTCCAATGCGCGCAACTATTTGCTGTTTATTCAGTAGAACAAACAAAAAAAAAAACGCGGAGCTCCGATTGAATTATTTTATTCTCCGATCCGAAGGAATTCGCCGGTCAGAGAGAAATCATCAAACGAATATTTTCGTTTCGTGCTCGCGTCGCAACCTTGCATCGACATCTACAGACGATTCAACTTACTAGCGTGCCTCGCGTTAGGGGTGGCGACTCACCGCCTCCATTCATCTCACTCTGACTTCCGATTTCTCTCTCCCTCTCTTTATATTTTCCTGACTGCGCGCGCGTCATGCGCCGCCACCACCCTTGCTCGCTGCTTGCCGCCGCCGCTCGCTCGCACTCTCTGCACTCGGGCGGCAGTTAGTCGTGCAGTGTCTTCGCTAGCCGCCAGTCGTGCCGCTGCTCAAAAAGTTCGTGTGCGTTTTGTGCGAAGGGCTGCAAGTTGTGAGTTGAAGGGTCGCGGATTCAGTGTGCGTTCGTCGCTTGCGAGAGGCAGTACTGCCGCCGCCCGGTGAAGGAAAATTACGCGTTCGCTGAAATAAAACAAAAATGTTTTAATTTAAATTTAAATTTAAAAAAACTTTTAAAGAAAACTGTTATGTGGTAAACTTTGGTGAAAAGTTTCGAAAACTTTTGGTGAAAAAATTGTTAAAATGTTAGAAACAGCGCTGCACTCAAGGTACGAAATAATTTTTACCTTTGTTGCAAGTTTCATTAACACACAACTTATCCTGCATACCAAAACAACCCTTAAACTTAAATTTTTTCCAAATAAAAATTCCTTAACACCTAAATGGTATTAAGTTCATGTTCATGTTCGCGTCGTTGCAAACAATCAAAAAAAAAAACAAGTGCTGTGGTTTTGAGGGTGGTTGAGGAGGCGGCTAGTGGTGGATTTAACTCCGCCGTCTGACCGAAAATTACGATAGTGTCCGCCGGGCTTAGCAGCGTCTGCTCTGGAAAACATCCGCTTTGCTCTCGCTCGCCGCTGGTGCGGTGATGATGTTGTAAAAGTCGAAACTACCCGGGGTCGCGGCGCGGGGGCGGCGGGAGATTAGCCATTCGACGCGTTATCCACCGCGCGGGTGGATACTTTAAAGCCCCTCGCAACTCTCGCGGAGTATATCAGCTCGGGCGCAGGAATCGCAGGAATCGCTGGGATTTTAGGATCTTCTAACGATCGGTTTAAGCAGAACTTAAACTTTACTCGCGTAATCGTAGGAGAGCTCGAACGACAAGCACACACGATGCGAGTTTATGCCGGTTATCAGCAGAAACAAAAACCCAGCTTGTTTCTGCTGATGAAAGAAATCAAAGAAAACAGGGAAAAAGTTTGAAAGTTTAATTCGGAGTTGCGCTTGTTCCAGATCGAGTCGAACATTCGGTTATCCCGCATTAAAGAAGATGCCATCGGGCGAGAGGGAGGAGGCGGCCCGGCGGCGGCGCAAGCTGGACGAGAAGATCGAGCTCGTGCTACCGCAAAAGAAGCGCTCGCTCGCGTTTACCACAGCGGCTGAGTCCGAGAGCTTGATCCGCGAAACGGAGGCCGCGCTGAAAACGCTCAGTGGCAGCTGGGCGGGCGGCAGCCGCCCCCAGGCCACTTGTCGTGATGAGAAACCCGCGTTTGAGAACCTGTTCGCTGACGGGCGACCGGATGCCGCCGATTCGAACTCGCTCAAAGACGTGATCACCTTCCGCGATGCGCACTCGGCCGCCTCCAATGCCTCCTCCTCCGTACTGAGGGTAAAACGCGAGATAGACCATGAGAGCGTCGATTACGACCAGCTCGACGACGATGACTCGTCGCCCGAGCTCGAAATCGACATGTCCCTGTCGCCGGAGGCGGCCACTTGCAAGGATAATAGAGATGACTCCGCGCGGCCCTTTCTCAGCACGCCTTCGTCTTCGTTTTCCAGCGCGTCGGCGTTCCGCCCGCCCAGCTCAAAGCTGCAGGGCGGCCACTACGCGGACGCCTTCGGTTACCATCTGCAGGGAGCCTCCGCCGCTGCCATCGCCGCCGTCGAGAAGGCGAAGTCGATGGGCAAAGCCGACCTGCCGCCTGGGACCAGCGCAGGCGGCAGCAAACCGGATTCCTCCAAGCAGTACACGATCCTTCAGCCAACAGGGGTTGCATCACGAGCCGCCAGCGCGTTACAGGAGGCGGCGAGGGACGCGCCCATCGCCGAGGCTAAGGTTCTACCAGGCGCGCTTAGTCCTGCAAGCATCAGTCGTGGAGGTAAACATTTTCCTAACAAACAAAACAAAAAAACTGTTGTCGTGTGGTGTGATTGATCCTGGTGAAGCTGGTGAAATGTCTGGAATGTGCTGGAACGGATGGACGAATGAGAGAGGCGAGCGATAAAGATTGGAGTCCAGTCCTGTATGTGTACATAATCGGCAGGCACGGCACCTCTATGTGGAATATGTGGCCGTATGTGCTCGAAAGGTGGTTGGGGGCCGCCTCCGGACGGACGAATCGCGTGCGCGGTGCGCGCAGGACGAAAAAAAAAAGAGGACGGCATCCAACCTATAAGAAAAAACGCAGGCGCAAGCTGCTGTTTTCACGCGCGCTACTACTCTACCGCGAGAAACATGAACATCGTGTTTCGTCCTGAAAGTCCTTAGAGTCCTCTGCGAGTCCTGAGAGTCCTTTTTGCTCCGCAACACTCACAAACTTTTTTCAGTTTTGCGCGCGCAGTAAACGTGTTCTGTTTTTTTTTCTTGTGTAGCTCGCGCGCGTTTATCCTTGTTTGCTTTCCACACGCCGCCCGCCTATCGGCTGCGTTGGCGGCGGCGGGGGCGGCGTCGAAGTGGGGGTATCGGCTAGTCCGCAGGTGCGGTGACCGTTCGCCCGCCGCCCTGCTGTGTGCGCGCGTTCACGCTGCGGTTTTCTTTTTTCCACCGCCGCCGCCGCCAACGCGCGCCCCGCCGCCGTCAGAGTGGTAGGAAAAAACGAATATTTTTCTCGCGAGTCTCCACCCGCGCACGCCGCTCATAGGCTAATCGACCCGGCATGCGCGCCGCCCCCGCCGCCACCGGAACGATATGTGCACACACACCTCGTGCATGTGCACATACGGTTTATGTATCAGCATAAAACCTGCGAAAAGTTTTACGGGCGCCGCGGGAGCCGGCAAACACATAGTGTAGGTACATAACATACACACATACACCCAACGGGGGCGGGTGGGTCATGGGAGGGTGAATTATCGCCCGCCATTTGCTTCGCGCACGTCGCCGGCGATTTTTAAACGTCTTTCGTCCGACGCCCGTGCGCCCCGAATTAGTTATTAATGCGCATCGGCGTGTATGTGTTTGACAAGTTGTGTGTTTCAAGTTGCCTATTGATTAGAGCTTTGCGTGCAATGTGTGTTGTCTAGTTTATAGTATGTTTTCTTCGTTTTATTGCTTGTGCTTGTGTGAGGATGTGCGACTATTGATTTGTGGACGGTTTTTTTTTCTATTTTTGCTAGGACAAAACAAAATCTAAACGCAGCGCTTTTGTTTTGTTGCAGACGGCACTAAATGCCCGACGCCTGGCTGTACGGGACAAGGACATGTCACCGGACTGTACTCGCACCATCGAAGGTAAGTGAAGACTGTCTAAGTAAACTCTACCGAAACGTTTAAACAACTCTTTCAATGCTAAAATTAGTCTGTCCGGATGTCCACGAAAGGATAAATTAACTCCTGAAAGTAAGTTTTATAAACAAACCCATAAATCAACCGATTTACGTTTCAACCTAATTTTTCTGAATCTTTTTTGTTTTTGAAATTTGTTTTCTTTACGTTTTGCACTCATTTTGTATGTTTGGTTGCGTTATTTTTGACTATTTTAACGCCTATTCTCCATTTTGCTTGACCGCCATTTTGTTCCGATTTTGATTTGATCGTTGCGGGGTAGAGAGCGCTCGTTCTGTATGTTTTTCTGTTTCATTTTCGTATATTGCGTAGTTGTGTACCATTTTTTCGCCGTGATTTTGAAAGCGACACGTGCACCAACGTAGTGATTGTGTCTTGATTGACATTCTGTAACAAGTACGAGTACGAGCACCCAAAGAATCAACTATCAGAGATTTGAGTATAATAAGAACCAAGTGATACGATTTTGCGACTAATGAATGTGTGTGTAGCGTATCTTTTAAGTTTTTGATTGAGTTTTCGTGTTTTTTGAGTTTTTTTTTTTTTGGGTTTGAGTTTTTTTTAAATCAAAATTATACCAACGAGTATTTCTCTCTATCTCTATCTATATCTCTCTACCCGCCGATTGTTGTTTGAGTTGAGTTTTGAGTTTGTTGCGTTACACATACCTCTCTATGCCGATCTGTGGGGGATTATTATACTCACGCTCGCTGATCTGATATGTGATTCTCGCGTCCGACAGTTTTGGCGCTGCACGAGACGATACTGAAATGCCCGACGCCGGGATGTAACGGGCGCGGGCACGTGAGCGCGAATCGCAACACGCACCGCAGCCTCTCGGGCTGCCCCATCGCCGCCGCCGGCAAGCAGGCGGCGCGCGACCTCAAATACCAGGCCGGCCTGCAGCGCATCAAATCGCCGCACGCTTCGGCCGCCGCCTCCACGCCGCTCGGTAAGCAGCTCGTGCTCGTACCAACTGTAGACATCTAGAATGTAGCCTACCATCTGATCCGCCATTTTGTTTATTATATTACATCTACATATGGTGATTTTTGCGCAGTGGTCTCTTGTGGCGAGTTCAGCGGAAGTTACGACGGCAAATCGGCGCCTTCGGACGACGTCAAACCCAACTATCTGCTCGGCTACGCAGCCACCACCACCTCGGTAACCTCCTCGTCAGCATCCGCATCCGCCTCTTCGTCGGTAACCGCAGCAGCCGCGGACAACCACCCGGAGGACTACTACCCCAAGACGCATCTCAAGGAAGGCATGAAAGTGCCCAAAACCGAGGTGGCATCTTCCTTGAGCTGCACCCGCGACCAGCAACAGTTGATCGTACCCAAAACGGAAAACACAGCCTGCCGCTCACCGCTCTCACGCGGACAGAACTACGGTGAGTACATGAACCAAGACTCCAACTCGTCGTCGTTGTCCAGCGTGGACGCAATGTCAACTCGACCACATCATCCGATGCATCATCAGATGGCACCACAAGCCTACAATGACGACCGCCATCAGCTACCGCACCGATCACCCTACCAGCAAAGCCCACTCTCGGATGAAATGTACCGATCGGAGCACTCGATGAGATCTTATACGGATATGAGTGACTCCATTAGTAATGGCATAGCTAGACCAGTGGTCACCTACTCAAATGAATTAACCGCACGGCAATATGACGGAACGATGGTAAACTCCGCCTCGCATAGACCTTATGATCCAGGCACCTCAACCGCCTTCGAAAGGTACGACTCCAGCAATCAATGTGGGAGTGCCATGCAGCAATCTCTCATGGGTGCTAGAGGTGGCCCTCAACAATCCATGTACGGGTCTTATGCCATGGACGACCAGGAACGTTATCCGGAGCAGATGAGTGTCACCGGGGCACCTGGGGCACCTCCCATGATGAAAACCGAACCGGATGAGAACAGTGGACCTTTATATCCAAGGTAATAGTTAATAAATAATATCTAATTATAAATAAACATAAATATCCCCTAGACCTATGTATCAATACGATACGTCAACTGGTCACGTCCCAGTGGGTTTCTCCGCCATCAACTTATCGGTGAAGTGCGTGACGACAGCGCAAGCGGCGCAAATGAAAGCATCCGGCGGCGGTGGCCCGCACACGTCACCCGGCGGGTCCGTCATAGATCTTTCCACGTCGAGCGTCACCACAACCAGCCCGCAGGTAAGCGCTAGCGCTGCGTTAACGATAATGGCGTTCACCCCGAACGCTTGAATAAATAACCACAGCGGTGTTGTGGCTCGTGGTCAGTCGTTAATAAAGCTCGCGTCCGCAGGTGGCGTACAGCTCGCCGCACTACGGCGGTCAACGAGTTGGCGGTAGCCCGCAGGCGGCGGCCAGTCCACATCTATCCGCCAGCCCGCAGGTGCCCAGTCCGCAGGGGCAGACCCTGGATCTGAGTGTCAGCAGACTTTCGCACAGGTAAGCACCTCCTTCGGATTTATTATTCATTACGCTCAATTCTCGTTTGTTGTGACTCCAGCGGGGTGCGGCCGGTTGTGTCGACTTTTGTTTCGGGGCCGGTGCTTGCTCCTGGATCGGGGTACAGTCGAGAATCTACGCCGGATTCAGGCGGATCGCATTACATGGATGCTTACCGTGATTCCGCTGGTATGTATTTAATTAAAATTCATTTTTTATGTTTTTATATTGCATTTATAAAATGTTAGGTTATGGTCCGATGAGTCCACATCCAGGATACGGAATGACGACAGTGGGTGCTGATTATCCAACCAATCCGTACACGCCGTACACAACGGGATATTCATGCACAGGCGGGTATCCTGGGGCGGTGACCACTGGGTACCCAGCACCGCCAGGCGGATATTCTCCTGGACCTTGTTATTCTATGCCGCCACCTCAACATTCCCTCTCACAGCACGACAAGCAACCTAATAAGGACAATAGGTAAATATCAACATTGCCAAAAATTAAAATTTAGAAAATAAGCAGCTGGCTTTGAAACAATTAATTCGAAAACAAAATGGGGTCGATTGTTAAGTCATTTCCGTAAAAGTTAACCATGACAAACTGTGAAACACCAACCAGGTAATTTATTTGTTTCAATCACGTTGAATTAAGAGTTAAATTCTGTTTAAAACACGAAAACGGTGTGTGTGTACTGAGAACCATTTTCTGTGAGTATTAATTTATTAGGTGCTGGTTTGCTATTAAAAAAATGGCGAATGTAAAATGGTACAAGTCATATTTTGTAGGTTATGTAAGTTTGACAAGTCAAACATCAGTCAAAACACTTATATTATCAGTTTATTGCTTACCTAACATAATATGCGTCATTTCACAGCAAAAATCAATACAGTTGACTACTTTTAACGACGCAACACTATTTAAACAAGTCCGTTGGTGTAAATATTGTAAAACATCGAAAACAAGTGTTAAAATAATTTTTTGATGCGCCCCTGTCTATAATTCAAACGCGACCGCTTGGATGCGCTTCCAACCGTTGCGGCGCATGCGCTCTGTGCCCCCACTAAACTCACAATGTATGGCGCTCCGCTTTATGCTTCGTTTGTACCGGTGCGTAACAAACGAGTCGAGTCGATGTCGGCGTCCATCGCTCGCGCGCAAAACACCAAAACTTTGCCAAACACTCGAAACAAACGCCCGCACGCATCCGCCTATGCGTCGGCTGCAAAAATTCGCCACAAATAGTGCAAACATGGACGCGTACAAATAGAATGCGAAAAGTTTGAAAGTTTCAAAAACGAAAAGTGCACACACACGGAATGCAATAAAAAGTTTACCACAGCAGTATGACGATGGAAACAAACCAGCGCGATGAGGAAGATGTCGACTCGGCGATGTTTTTCCGCATCTTCGACGAAATGGGCGGCGCATACTACGACGAAGAGCAAGACGCTTACTATGGGTAATGATATTTAACCTGACAATAGGCAGGTAGACGCATACAAACAAAAACTTGTGAAAAAGTTACAAAACAAGCCATGTATTTATAGGTTAGTTTGTAATTTGTTAGTTTACAGACGAAAAAGCCATTCGCGAAGTGTTTCAATACTTATTTTATCGCGTACTAAATTGTTTGGAATGACTTTTATGTTTTGCGTTGTAAATCTAAACACAAGAAGCCATAGGATTACAAATACAATACAAGTTTACGACAGGGTTGGATTTAAAATTTTTGTTTTTAAAAATAATTCATAAATTGATGTATAATGTGTTTAAATTGTTTTAGTTTATCCGGATGTCCACGATCGGATCGTTCACAATTGGCGGCGCACTCACAGGAACTGAAATGCCCAACGCCCGGCTGCGACGGGTCGGGCCATGTCACCGGGAATTACTCATCGCACCGCAGCCTCTCCGGCTGCCCGCGTGCGAACAAACCGAAGAGCAAGCCGCGCGACGGCCAGGACTCGGAACCGCTAAGGTAAAGCTCGTCCCCGACAGTGCAACGCACACAGCGAAACTATAGCGTTACAATAAAACAAGATGGCCGCTTCAATTGACCAGAAGCGCCATGCAATATATTCAAAAAAAAACCAAACGCGACGATTTGATTCGAAACTTTTTGCGAAATCGACCGCCCGTAGTACGTTGTAATGCTGTGTTGATTTGTTGTTGACTTGTTGATCACAACTGTGGTGTTGTTGTTTTATTTTTCTAACGTTGAGCTTCGCTTTTTCACGCCCTACCTATAGATGCCCGATACCGGGCTGCGATGGTTCAGGACACGCAACTGGCAAATTTTTGTCGCATCGAAGGTAATTTCTATTCCATGATTGCAAACCAAAACAAACAAAATGAGTGTTTATTTTTTTTCTCGCTTTATTTTTCGTTGAAATTTTGATTCTTTGATCTCGATTTAGTTTTGTTTTGTTGTTTTTTTTTTGTTTTAGTTCTTCCTTTAGTAATTTCTTCTATCATTGAGACAAAAAGCGGTGGATTGATTAATTATTTTGGATTTTTTTGAAATTTAGAAACTTATTTATTCCTTCATATATATTCCAAGCACCAGAAATGTTGCAAGTGTGCGAGATCTGAAATCTTTCTCTGTTGTCTGTTCAGTGCGTCCGGATGCCCGATCGCCAACCGAAACAAGATGCGCATCATGGAGACGGGCGGGCCGGTGGAGAGTCACAAGGTGGCTGTCGCCGCCGCCACCGCGATGAAGTTTGACGGCGTCAACTGCCCGACGCCCGGCTGCGATGGTACGGGGCACATTAACGGCTCGTTTCTCACGCATCGATCGCTGAGCGGTTGCCCTGTTGCAGGTCAGACCGTCAAGAAGCCCAAGTACTCGGAGGACATGCCCTTCTACGCGTCCAAAACCTACACAGGTATTTATTCCGACGCGCCGCCGCCGCAGCAGCAGCAGCAGCAGCCGCTTTGTTCTTTTCTGGATTGCCGTGTTCTTTTCGTGTTTTCTACCAATTTATTATTTCTGCACGTTCGATGTCGTAGTCTAAGATTTATAATAAGATTTAAAGGTGTGAATGGGAGAGAGTGTGTGCTTTGTGTAGGAAACCATGAACCATCTTGGCGCCGCCCCCCAAATGCGGGCGGGGCGTGCCTCGTTTCTGTTGCTATAAAACAAATGTTTCAATTTCAGATCTGATATATTTCTAAGCGAGCGCAGTTGCGAGTTGCTAGAGTTGAACGTGTGATATATTAAACTGGAGTTTAAAACTAACCAAACAAAAACAAAAAAAAACAAACAGAGTCTATTTTTTACAAAGTAAAGAGAAAGTTTAAGAGGTTCGTGGTGGGTGCCGGTGGTGGTGGTGGTGGTAGTCGTGGTGGTGGTGATTGGTGCAAATGGCCGTCTGGAAGATGAAAGATTAAAAGTAATTACAAATATCCCTCGGCTCTGGCGGGCGCGTTGCGGGCGATTGCTTCTAACGCTGGTGCGCCATGTTGCGCGCTTGTTGCAGGACTGGACGGCAATGGCGCGACGGGCGCCAACGGCGAGGACCTCATGAGCCTGGAGGCGGAGATCTCGGAGCTGCAGCGCGAGAACGCGCGCGTCGAGTCCCAAATGCTGCGTCTCAAGTCTGACATCAATGCGATGGAGAACCATCTCAGCAATGGCGAAAAGGTATTGATACGCATTCTTTGCCTATTCAGTTGAAATATTATGATATTACATGTTAGACAAATCGAAATTCTTGCTTTAATGTTTGATGCTTTTCGTTTTCACAAAACGTAAACCTAACATATAGTTTCATATATTTCACCGCCCACAGTCGGATTGCAATAAAAACCCAATTCTCACCCTCCAAAATTCTACCAGGAAACGACGGTAATGGCGCAGCGCAACACCAACCTGAACGAGTACTATGAAAGTCTGCGCAACAACGTCATCACGCTGCTGGAGCACGTGCGGTTGCCGGCCGGTGGTGGCGGCGGCGGTCCTAACCCCACTGGGGGTGCTCCCGGTGCGCCACCTGAGAAGCTCGGCCAGGAGAACTTTGACTCGTACCTCACCAAGCTGCAGACGCTCTGCACCCCCGAAGGGTACTGCAGCGACGAGAACCGCCCTCTGTACGAGACGGTCAAGTGCGCCCTGCAGGACTTCACCGTGCTTCCTACGCCTATCTAAGCAAGGGCGCGTTTAACCCACCCCCACGCACGCCATCTATGATCTGTTAGTTGTAATCGTGTCGCGCAGGGTTCGCTTCGAATGACGATATTTATATTTAAATTGTGATCTAACTGTAAATACAAATTACGCATATGACGATTGTGGAGGAATCCCAAAGAGATAAAAAAACGCTGTAGATAAATTACTTTAGTGCGCCCAGCCGTAGCCCGGCGAGACTTGTGTATATTGTAACTGTAAATAGTCTGTTTTACGTTTATAATGTTTTTATAATGAGTAAGATTGTTTCCTCTTTTTTATAACGACGAAAACCTAAACAAATTGTATCTGTACAAAGCGACGCAGGACGATGATGAGTATGATGTTGACGGTGAAGCTAACTCACTGACGTAACGAAACCACGCGACATAGACCAGTTTTGTTTCCCTTAGAACTGTGATTATGTAAACGAGTATATAAATTAATGATATAGACCTTAATAGTGTTATTTGTAAACTCTTTGAAAATGTGCAATTGAATATAAATGATAAACAAAAACCCAAAAAAATGATGACGCGCAGTCACGAGGTGTTCAGATATCGATGTAAAGCGACACGCTGACTATGATTTGATCGTTTATCTCTCCTCCCCGCCGAAGTAACAACACACACACACATTCGTTTTTCTACTTACCGTGACTACATACTATGCATGCATCTATGCGGAAAACTATTTCAAGCTCGTTGTGAAAAATCTGTACATACTGAAAAAACAAATGATGCGCCACGCGAAACACGAACGGAGGCGAATGTTAGTATAATTCCGAGAAATTCAACTCTACATTCATTATTGGGTATTTCATTTGTTCACACATCAAATATCTATGTTATAACTACATGTGTTGTTATAAAATATTATTAAAACTATATTAATGATAACTCATCTGGAGAATTTCTACCATTGACTCCATTTTTGTTCAGTTTTTGATATTAAGGGTTTGGTTATTGTTTTTTTAACTGTCAGAAGCTATTCCAATCAGTTCCAGCGAACATTTGTTTTTGCTATGAAGCCAGTTTTGTTATTAAATTAATTTTCTAGTCAATACCGTGAAAATATTTGATGATTTTAAACTTAGAGATCCAAAACTGTTAAAAGTTTAGTCCTTACATATCTGCAGGATTGGTTGCATTAATTATGGAATATGATTAATAGTGCGCTTAAGAACAACTACAAAGTTTGGTATTCTTTACTTAAATATGATAGTATACTTCCCCTCCCCTATCATGGATTGTAAACAAATAGCTGAGTCCGTATCAGCGACCCCTTCAGTCGTCCCCAGGCCGTGCACTGCGACACACGTGTTTATTGCTACGATCAAAATGTGCAGTGATTTAAACAATCATTCTAAAAACAATTGTGATTACGTTGAAGTGACTTCTTGAGAATTATATCGTTGTTAACAAAATGGCAAACGTAACTTACATAGTTAATTATTGTGCTTTAGTTATAAAGGTGTTGCGAAGTGAACTCTGAACTCTAGAAACAGTGAATTGTTGATGTTTTGAAGATAGTCATGCCGCGAACTGAATTGAAGGATTCCAGTAGGAATGCACTAAAGATTGGAGCAAGTGAAGTTTCAAAGAGGGAACAGGCTTGGAGACGTCGATGAATTGATAATTATTGCAAACGGTTTACGAGAAACCAACCAAACATGTCTCGGAAGTTGTTATCTACGACGAAAACACAGAACAGCAACCGAGTGAAAGTACGGTGAATCTAATCTTAACCCGATTCCAAAAACTAACCAACGCTGAGATGTGCAAATTATACCTGTAAAGAACATAAATTCCTCTACAAAATTCGGATATTAAAGGAATGTTTTCACATTTAGGCAAAAAGTAAGTACTTTTGCAATAAAAATATTTACTGCGTATGCATATTAAGTATAATACATAACAGCTCTAAATTACATTAATTACGACATATATTTTTATTTCATCACTCATAAAATAATCAATTTTATATAAAAAACAAGGTATCATTGTATAAAATTTTCATGACTTCTTTCGTCAATTTTTTGAAACCAGTTTAAAAAACTGAGTTAGTTGGTGGCGCCACCACGAGCAGGTGCTGCAACTACAAATGATTCTTTCAATTTTTGTTTTTCACTGATCATTAATCTTAGTGCGTATATTAAACTATAATATTAGTGAAATTACATTCATTATTTACTCAAATGTAGTCTTTAAGTGATACAAAGTTACAGTTATTACCTTACTACGACGTAAAGCAGCTTACTTTAAAAATGTCATCAATAGCATGGCTTCATTGTAATAAATGCGCCGTCTTCAAGAAGCAAACTTTTAATTTAACTGAATGTGGTCATCTCTTGTGTATGGCATGTAACCAACGCGCAAGTAAGTACACATTTTCAACCATTTAAACGTTATCTTCAATTAAACTTTGCACGTGTTTAAAACTTTACAATTACAGTCAACCAGGGAACATGCCCGATTTGTCACAAACGAATTGCAAACGTGATGCCACTAGATAACAACACGCCGCCGGGAATCACTCGTCTTTTTTCCGATGAAAATTTGTGTTTTCCTCAGGTATAGTTTGCATTCGAGTTTATGACAGAAGAATGCATGTAATAATTATATGTTTTCTGTGAAGATTCTAAAATTTCAAAATAAGCAGTATGATCATATTCTTGAACATCTTAAGAAAAGAGTTACTAGCGCTGAGAATGAACTTGAGCAGTTAAAGAAAGAAACTGCTGGTCAATACCAGCGATTGGCAAGTTTAGACCAACAAATGAAAACTGTAAGTTTTTGTCTAGTTGTTTAAAGTTAACAACAAGTACTTTTTATTTTTAAAATTTAATAGTTAAATATTGAGGATGATTGTATGAGCGCACGCCTCGGCATGCCATCAGGATCACGGATGCATATGAGTATCGACAGAAATGGTTTAAATGCTATCAGACGAGAACCACCAAGATTCCAACTTCACCATAATAATCCATTAGATCTTCAGCACCATGAACTTTATGGCAGAAGAGTTAATCCACTAAAGGTGCAATTGTGTTATTATGTCATAGATTTTAAATTTAAATATCCATTGTTGCTTTTAGCCAACTACGGCTTTTGCGCTGCTAAGTGACGATCAAGACAGTTCAGCTAGCAATCGACCCGGATCTTCAACTGGTGCAGTTCCGAAGAAAATTAGCAAAAAGAAGCGTTATTAAATAATAATTTAAATTTAAGTTTTTTAAAAGAATTGCTTTTGTTTTAGAGTTTTTGTTTCTTTTAATAATACGTGCGCATTCATATCGTGCAAATTCTAAAACCTCAAATAAGTAAATCATATTTGGCGCCGTCTTTTACAGCTACACACACAATTTCAAATGACTTCTTAACCTCACTTTAATTTGTTAGTTGTTGTCCACCACGTGCTGGCGGCGTAAACGTGTTTCTGTTTAGTTCTGCGTAAATATTCATTGTCATGGGACGAAAAGCAAAGTTTGACGAAGAACATAATGTTGTTAAAAAGGGCCCCGGGCGCAAGGCGAAGAAACAAAAAGATCCGGTCTTTTTAAAATCACAACTTGCTGGTGAGTTTCGGAAATTAGCCGAAAATTCCGACTTTCTTTTCAAAGTTTAATTTTACTTGAATTTATATTTGTAGAGAATGATGGTCCAAAGAAATTAAGTAGACACCAAGCCAAAAGGGCAATGAAACGTAACGAAAAGAAACAAGTCCGCCAAGAAAAACAGAAATCAGCCTTATTGAAGAAACAACAAGCTGCAGTTTCTACAAAACCTACAAAAAAGAAGAAAGAAGCTTATACTAGTGATGGTGAAGAGGATGATGATGAAGATGAAGATGAATCTGATGAGATTGATGAACAAGAAGATTCTGAACAGGACAGTGGAGAAGAAGCTTCAATGGATGATGAGGATGAAGATGATGCTGAAGAGGAGGAAGAGGAAGATGATGATGAAGGAGAAGGCTACACAGATGAGAACAAGTCATGGCTAAAACCTAAAAATAAGAAAAATATTTCAACAGAAGAAGATTCTGATGAAGCAGAAGAAGAGGAATCTGAAGATGATGAAGACAACTTAAAGGTAGGCAATTTGGATGACATGGATTCTGATCAAGATGATGACTCTGATGAGGATGAAGATGACGAATTTAACGCTGAAGGATCCGATGACGAATTACCGATCGAGAAACAAAATCGCAAGTTAAAGAAGAAAATGGCGAAGATCGCGAAAGAATCTGAAGAGGAAATTCAACTGAATATTAGAGATCAGGAAAAGTTTGAGTTTCCGAGTGGAGATGACCAGGAAACAACCAATTTACAAGACATCCAACAACGAATTCAAGATGTATTGCGAGTATTAGCTGATTTCCAGAGACTCCGGGATGCAAACCACGCTAGATCCGAATACGTAGAGTTATTGAAGAAAGATTTATGCGCTTACTACAGCTACAATGAGTTCCTAATGGAAAAACTCATGCAACTCTTTCCATTGAATGAATTTCTAGAATTCCTCGAAGCATCTGAGGTTCAGCGTCCGCTTACCATTCGTACGAACAGTTTGAAGACGAGAAGACGTGACCTGGCTCAAGCTCTGATTAATCGCGGAGTAAATTTAGATCCGATTGGTAAATGGTCAAAGGTAGGTCTTGTCATCTACTCCAGTCAGGTACCAATGGGTGCAACACCCGAATATCTTGCCGGACATTATATTATTCAAGGCGCGTCGAGTTTGCTGCCTGTAATGGCGCTCGCCCCGCAACCCAACGAAAGAATTTTAGACATGTGTGCTGCCCCTGGCGGTAAAGCGTCGCACATTGCTGCTATTATGAAGAACACAGGCGTGGTATTTGTCAATGACGTAAATAAAGATCGTGTCAAAGCAGTTGTGGGTAACTTTCATCGGTTGGGAATTGTCAATTCGGTGATTTCCACCGTTGACGGGCGGAAATTTCCGAGTATTATTACTGGTTTTGACAGGATTTTGCTGGATGCTCCTTGTACTGGTACAGGTGTTGTTGCGAAGGATCAAAGCGTAAAAACTAGCAAAGATGAACAGGATATTCAGAGATGTTATACGTTGCAAAGAGAGTTGTTACTAGCTGCGATAGATTGCGTTAATGCTAAGAGTACCACAGGTGGTTATATTGTTTATTCTACTTGTTCGATATTGCCGGAAGAAAATGAGTGTGTGATTGATTATGCCCTGAAGAAGCGTAACGTCAAGCTGGTGAATACTGGTTTGGAGTTTGGTACAGAAGGATTTACAAGTTATCGCCAGCATCGGTTTCACCCGACAATGAAGCTGACGAAGCGATTCTATCCGCACACACATAACATGGATGGATTTTTCGTTGCAAAGTTGAAAAAGTTTTCGAATGTTATTCCAAGCAATGCTGGAGATTCTGCTAAGATTGCTGAAGGTGATAAAAAGGAGGAGAATGGTAAACGAGGACATTCCGATGACGAAACATCTTCTGGGGATGATGTTAAAGAGACGAAAGTTGTCAAGAAACAAAAGAGGGACGGTGGTAAAGCACCTAAGCAAAATAAGCAAAATGGCGTACAGAAAACTGGAAATCAGACTAAAAAACAAAAGAATAAACAAGTAAATGGCGGTCAAAGTCCTACCAGTAAATCACCGAAACAATCAAAACAGGCCACAGCACAATCACCCAAAACAAGTCCCAAACAGGCTAAACAAAAGACTGGAAAGAAAAGTCAACAATCGAAATCAAAACCTGGGAAGAAAATGAATTGGGAGAATGTACCGCAGGCTGCAGCATCGAAAATGGCTAAGAAATTGAAGACGAAGAAGAAAATTGGCGGATTTAAAACGAAACCCAAGAAAAAGTAGGTTAATTTTGTTAGGTGTTACTGCAAACTTGAATTAAATAAATAATTGTTCAATTATTTCGTGCTCTGTTGAAGAATTGTATGAGAACAATTAATTTATCTCCGGTAACAGTACCGACGGTTTTGTTTGTTTTCAAACACATTTAAAAATATACAAAATTGCATTTAAAATATTACAATATTACAGAGATAAATTGTTCAAAATAATGTTTCCTTTTAGCATCTGTGATGAGAAGACATTCCTTCAATATGAGGTTTTTTATCCTGATGCAATTGATCTAGTTTAAAATGGTTTACCAGCCTAGTGCAATGCGCATTGATATTGCGCCGATACGTATTACCACGGGCGGTCACTGCGCACAATCTGCGATCGGCGCAAGCACTTTCAGCGCACGCGGCTTTACTCAGGTAGTTTGCCGTGATTCTCCGGTGTGACCGCACGCGTTTCTCGTGGCCCGCCGCCATGTTACTTGTGAATTCGAGTCGATATCTTTTATCAGTTTTTACTTGTTTATTGAATATTTTCGAACTAGGATCATTTTCATCCCTACGCGATTACCGTTCACTGTGTCGCAACTTTCTACATCTCATCGGAATTCAATTCGACCAACAACTATATTAGATCTTGCATGTGGCTGGAACGAATCCCGTTGGACACCAGTTGAAGTTCGGCGTTGATCCATTGGTAAGTTCATAATTCAATTAAAAATCCTTATTTATTTTTGCATTTTAAAATTAAATCTCTATAACATCCCGCGGTCGTAGAAACGTGTAATTAACTAGATATGTACATCGAATTGTATTCAACACAGGCGATTTTATGCAGTGCGCACATTGGAATTTTTGCTCTACGCGCTTATCGGTTTCAACGTTTAAACAACTTTTTATCGCCTAAACTCTTATTCTCTGGCAATACACCGCTGATGTTTTACACATAACTCATTCTCAACTGTGTAGGATTGTTGTGGATTTTCTGATTATTTTTGTTTAAACCGTCAATTAATAATAATATTGGAAATTGTATGTAATATCGTTTAACCCAAATATTTTAATTAATTTTAAATTTCCATCTGATAGAGACTTTACCAATTTCACTAGCTTATTTGATAGAGAATTTTCCGTAGATTAACACCTTGTGATTCGTTCCTTTCTATCGCTTTTAGTTTACGAGATATTCGCGATTGAATAAAATGGGCAAAAATTGAAAAATTTCACTTTTTAGCACTTTTAGTCGCGTTTTTCACCTTTTACTGTAGGAAATATAATTATTTTATATTTTTATCTGATAGACAATTTTCTAGTTTTTCATAATCAATAATTTGTTGATAGCTCTCGCTTTTAGTTTAAGAGATATTAATTATCAAAAATCGTCGAAAAAAAGTATCAAGCACACCCCCCACCCCCTTGGCAATTTTTTCTTAAGAATTAAAATTTCATCTCCCAGATTTCCACTTTAAATAGCCTATCTAATAGAGATTGGTCTGTAGATTAAGACGCTGCGATCAGATCTTAATTATCTCTTTTAGTTTACGAGATATTCGCGATTGAATAAAATGGGCAAAAATTGCAAAATGTCACTTTTTGCACTTTTAGTCGCGTTTTTCGACCTTTTACTGTAGGAAATATAATTATTTTATATTTTTGTCTGATAGAGAATCTTCCAATCTTTCATAATCAACAATTCGTTAGTAGCTATCTCTTTTAGTTTAAGAGATATGAATTTTTGAAAATCGTCGAAAAAAAGTATCAAGCACCCCCCCTTGGCAATTTTTTCTTAAGACTTAAAATTTCATCTCTCAGATTTCCACTTTAAATAGCCTATCTGATAGAGATTGGTCTGTAGATTAAGACGCTGCGATCAGATCTTAATTATCTCTTTTAGTTTACGAGATATTCGCGATTGAATAAAATGGGCAAAAATTGCAAAATGTCACTTTTTAGCACTTTTAGTCGCGTTTTTCGACCTTTTACTGTAGGAAATATAATTATTTTATATTTTTGTCTGATAGAGAATCTTCCAATCTTTCATAATCAACAATTCGTTAGTAGCTATCTCTTTTAGTTTAAGAGATATGAATTTTTGAAAATCGTCGAAAAAAAGTATCAAGCACCCCCCCTTGGCAATTTTTTCTTAAGACTTAAAATTTCATCTCTCAGATTTCCACTTTAAATAGCCTATCTGATAGAGATTGGTCTGTAGATTAAGACGCTGCGATCAGATCTTAATTATCTCTTTTAGTTTACGAGATATTCGCGATTGAATAAAATGGGCAAAAATTGCAAAATGTCACTTTTTAGCACTTTTAGTCGCGTTTTTCGACCTTTTACTGTAGGAAATATAATTATTTTATATTTTTGTCTGATAGAGAATCTTCCAATCTTTCATAATCAACAATTCGTTAGTAGCTATCTCTTTTAGTTTAAGAGATATGAATTTTTGAAAATCGTCGAAAAAAAGTATCAAGCACCCCTTGGCAATTTTTTCTTAAGACTTAAAATTTCATCTCTCAGATTTCCACTTTAAATAGCCTATCTGATAGAGATTGGTCTGTAGATTAAGACGCTGCGATCAGATCTTAATTATCTCTTTTAGTTTACGAGATATTCGCGATTGAATAAAATGGGCAAAAATTGCAAAATGTCACTTTTTAGCACTTTTAGTCGCGTTTTTCGACCTTTTACTGTAGGAAATATAATTATTTTATATTTTTGTCTGATAGAGAATCTTCCAATCTTTCATAATCAACAATTCGTTAGTAGCTATCTCTTTTAGTTTAAGAGATATGAATTTTTGAAAATCGTCGAAAAAAAGTATCAAGCACCCCCCCTTGGCAATTTTTTCTTAAGACTTAAAATTTCATCTCTCAGATTTCCACTTTAAATAGCCTATCTGATAGAGATTGGTCTGTAGATTAAGACGCTGCGATCAGATCTTAATTATCTCTTTTAGTTTACGAGATATTCGCGATTGAATAAAATGGGCAAAAATTGCAAAATGTCACTTTTTAGCACTTTTAGTCGCGTTTTTCGACCTTTTACTGTAGGAAATATAATTATTTTATATTTTTGTCTGATAGAGAATCTTCCAATCTTTCATAATCAACAATTCGTTAGTAGCTATCTCTTTTAGTTTAAGAGATATGAATTTTTGAAAATCGTCGAAAAAAAGTATCAAGCACCCCCTTGGCAATTTTTCTTAAGACTTAAAATTTCATCTCTCAGATTTCCACTTTAAATAGCCTATCTGATAGAGATTGGTCTGTAGATTAAGACGCAGCGATCAGATCTTAAATATTTCTTTTAGTTTACGAGATATTCGCAATTGAATAAAATGGGCAAAAATTGCAAAATGTCACTTTTAGCACTTAGATCGCATATATGAACCGTGCCAAATGTAATTCTCGTACAAGGTCGCGGGCCGTCGACGCGCCGGCTTTGCGCATCTCTTGCTTTCTTATCATAAACTCTCGCGACGTTACTGGCACGGCTTCGGCTTACGCTGCCCATGGTTTGCAGCCAGTTTCGTGTCTGGCGCTGGCGTATCCAGACGCATTTCGCGCGACGCGTATTTTTTTTCTCGGACTTCTATTTTCTACATTTGCATTATATTCGGTCATGAATCGACATGTAACATGCATCATCTGTGTTTTGTGAATGATTAATAGTGCGTTTACGTAAATGATTTTTTGCTCGCTTTTGATGTTTATATTTCAAATTACAAGAATGCTGCGGTTTTATTGTCGGTTATTGTGTGACGTTGTCAGTCGCTAGATCAATTGGATTGATTGCCATGTTGTTCCCCGTTTTTGGGAGGTCCCTTCGTGCTTGAGTAAGTAATTTTTATCTCACCATTTCGATACTCCGCACATAATGTTTGTTTTTCTCTGATGTGTGAATATAATATTATTATGTTGTGCCATATTAAAGAAATATTGCGATTTAATAGACATTATTAAATTGCTTATGAATGGCATTTTCATGCAATATCAATTTTGTTGCATATTAGATAAAATGTGTTTTAAATTTGAACCTGCCATTACTAGATAGTCAGTTAGATGGCACGACGATGCACGTTTTCGCGTTAAATATTGCTTGTCGGTGGTAGTGAGTGCACACCGTGTCCGTGTGCAATCACGCGATTTCGCGCAAGAGATAAGTTTGTTTACCTGCAGATATCGAATTTTTATTTCGTGGAATCAAAACACACCGTTGCTGTTTGTTATATTTGCATCGTAAATAAGCAAATATTCTTCAATTCTTTCATGAATATAACTAACAGTTTTATATTAATTTTTAGTTTATTATAAAAATCATCAAGAATGCAAAACATTTTTATTATCAGCAGATCACTTAAGCAGATATCACTTAAATATTTTATGTAAAATCTTGCACTCTGTCAGCATAAGAAATCAGAATTAGACGAATCGAATTTTAGTTTTTCATTACTTTTTAATAATCTAAATTTTGAAACTACTGTATCATTCATAGATGGCCCTAGCATGACCTAAAAATCGTAAAGTAGATTTGTATTGCTTATTTCTATATAATTATCGGCAAGCGATATTGTAGATTTTTAAGTATAACACGCGAACGCGGTCTTAAAGTGATTTCGGATTAATTTTCCCAGATGCGTAATTTAATTCTTTATTTCCCTGTATCGATATTTATTGCGAGAAAATTCCGTAACGCGAGTTATATTGATAGTTGTGTGTATACTCATATACGCAATAGTACTCGTTGCGCTAGTAATTGTAGTTTTTTTATTATAACACGCGAACGCCGTCTTAAACTAAGTTTGGAATAATTTTCCCAGATGCGGAATTTAATTCTTTATTTCCCTGTATCGATATTTATTGCGAGAAAATTCCGTAACGCGAGTTATATTGATAGTTGTGTGTATACTCATATACGCAATAGTACTCGTTGCGCTAGGAATTGTAGTTTTTTTATTATAACACGCGAACGCCGTCTTAAACTAAGTTTGGAATAATTTTCCCAGATGCGGAATTTAATTCTTTATTTCCCTGTATCGATATTTATTGCGAGAAAATTCCGTAACGCGAGTTATATTGATAGTTGTGTGTATACTCATATACGCAATAGTACTCGTTGCGCTAGGAATTGTAGTTTTTTTATTATAACACGCGAACGCCGTCTTTAAACTAACTTTGGAATAATTTTCCCAGATGCGGAATTTAATTCTTTATTTCCCTGTATCGATATTTATTGCGAGAAAATTCCGTAACGCGAGTTATATTGATAGTTGTGTGTATACGCAATAGTACTCGTTGCGCTAGGAATTGTAGTTTTTTTATTATAACACGCGAACGCCGTCTTAAACTAAGTTTGGAATAATTTTCCCAGATGCGGAATTTAATTCTTTATTTCCCTGTATCGATATTTATTGCGAGAAAATTCCGTAACGCGAGTTATATTGATAGTTGTGTGTATACGCAATAGTACTCGTTGCGCTAGGAATTGTAGTTTTTTTATTATAACACGCGAACGCGGTCTTAAACTAAGTTCGGAATAATTTTCCCAGATGCGGAATTTAATTCTTTATTTCCCTGTATCGAAATTTATTGCGAGAAAATTCCGTAACGCGAGTTATATTGATAGTTGTGTGTATACGCAATAGTACTCGTTGCGCTAGGAATTGTAGTTTTTTTATTATAACACGCGAACGCCGTCTTAAACTAAGTTCGGAATAATTTTCCCAGATGCGGAATTTAATTCTTTATTTCCCTGTATCGAAATTTATTGCGAGAAAATTCCGTAACGCGAGTTATATTGATAGTTGTGTGTATACGGAATTGTACTTTTTTAATATTGTAACACGCGAACGCGGTCTTAGACTAAGTTCGGATTATTTTTCCCAGTTGCGGAATTTAACTCTTTATTTCTTTGTATCGAAATTTATTGTGAGAAAATTCCTTAACGCGAGTTATAATGATAGTTGTGTTTATTCGCATATACGCAGTAGTTTCGTTAGTATAACGCGCGAACCGAATGCGCTGAAATTAACAACTGATTATATTTTTTGAATTATTATATTTTACTTTATTTTAGTGTACTTCAAAAATGTGCTATTTCTATTCTACACGCATATCGGGGTTTGTGTATAAACAAGTTTTTATATCGCTATAAACGTGCGCAGTTCTGCCTCTCATGCTACTAACATTCGACCGCTTCAGTCTGTTCTTACCTGCACGCGGCTCGGCATCATTCTTTCATTTATTCCGATTACATTACATTTTATTATTGATTAAAAATAAGCATTTCTAACGGCACCTAATGACAACAGACATGTAGATTGTTTTGCTAAGGATGATTTGTGCGTAAAATGATTGTAAAACTGGTGTTTCCATGTGCGTGTCGGCTATTGGATTATTTCGATGTTGAGAATTGGAATTAGAAATATGTATCCTATTCGTAATTTTAAGTTAGTGTAATTAACGACTGTCCTTGGCAGGATATTCCGGGAAAATTGTGTGTTAAAATAGTACAGGTTCATTATCCCTCAAAGCGAATATATATAAGTGTGCATCATAGTGCGAGTTCTCACACACGTGTTGTTTTCTTGTTTCAGTACTTTCTATGATTACCTGATGCACTGGTAAGTTTGTAAACGTTATTACATTATACTTTCATATTTATCTAAAATTGCATGTAACGTGAATACCGTAACAACACAAAATTGATGCGTGCCGTCGGATGCGACTTGGATCTACCCGCAGAGTATGGTCATGTCAATCATCGGTTTAATAACGTGAAATTTTCCTTGCTCGCATTTTTATTTCATAAATCTGCAGGCTGTTTAACGTATTTTCGTAGTTTGGCAATTAATTATTGAGAGTAATATATTTGTAAAAGACGATTTAATTTTCTTCCGCGTGTGTGCTTGAGTTGCCGTCGGCGGACACATTTTGCCTTGCTTGTGGCGTATCTGGAGAAGCTTCGCAAGGCAAATTTCAAGATCGCAATAAAATTCATATTGATGTTTTATTTATTCACAACTCTAGCTGCTCTACCTTTCCATTTCTTGATATTCTGAGAGAAACAGGTATTAGTTTAAATTTTCTTGTTGTGTCACCTTCTAATTATGAATGAAATTCTCTGCATCGAAAATTTTGAATTTTCTAATAAAATGTAGCGACTGACTAAACTGACTAAATTGGTCGTTTCTGGGTCGTTTTCTACCTAAACTTTGTATCTTATTTTTAATTTTAGGAATTTCCTGTTTGTATCACCCTGTATGTTTGTTTTTCTTGACTTCCTATTATAAGTTTTCTAAATTTGGTATTCCCGACTGTTTCCTTCTTTGTACTATTGATTTTCTTTTTGTAACACCCTGTATATTTGTTTTCCTTAATTTCCTATGAAAAACTGTCGACATTTAGTGTTTCCTAATATTTTCTATCTTGAACTCGGCATTTTCTTTTGTGATGTAGTAAATTCCTGTTTGCAGCACCCTGTATATTTGTTTTCCTTGTTGTCCGTGAAAATTTAGCATTAGTTGTTGTTTTAGGTTTTTCTTCTTTGCATTTTGAATTTTCTATTTGTAACACCCTGTATATTTGTTTTCCTGATTGTCGGTGAAAACGAGCGTTTGTAATGTTTAGAGGTTTTCGTTTGCACTTATAATTTTCTTTTTGTAACTCCCTGTATATTTGTTCCCATTTTCACTCATGTAGAAAATGGTCTATTTTCTAATTTCTTTATCCCGGTAGTACTTTGCGAAGTGCAACTTGCTTGCATGTGCGCGGCTATGCAGGTCGTAAGTCTTGTTTCAATATGGCGACATGTATTCTGTTGACTTGTAAAATATATACTTGTATTCTATTGTTAATAAATGAATAGTAAGATATATTGACTTCTTTGATTTGTGAACCTCTTCTATCATTTCAGTAACAGGTCTCTAAGAGAATTCCCTCTCTCAGGGGATGATCCCCACTATAAAAATTGTTAAGGTATCCTGTGTGATTTGTGTGCTCCTTCTTTCATTTCAGCTACAGGTCAGAACTTGTAAGAATATTTTTAAGTGTCACCTCTCTTGAGGCGACTTAAAACTTAGAAATATTTTTACAAGACTTTATAAGGATTGTCCTTATAAGGAATTCCCTCTCTCTGGGGGTGATCCCCCACCATAAAAATTGTTGATATGCCTGATAATTTCGGGGATGAAGCGCAGAGACATCGTAGCTGTAGGATGGGCCGGGAGCAATGGACGGATCGAAGCAGTGGGCGATCGACCAGAGCGCCGGAGGCGCTCTGGGAGATCGACCGTAGACTGTCTTATAACGACACGTGCCAAAAAATTTAAAAATCTGATCCTCCCCTGTTCTCTTTCTTCTATCTCCTCCTCTTCTCTACTCTACTTTCTATTCTCCTTCTTCTATCTTCTTCTATCTTCTTCTATTCTCTCATTCTCTACTACTTCTCTATTTCCCTGATCTCCCGTTCTCCTTTGACTTTCTTACTTCTCATGTTGCCTTCACATATATTTCAATTCTCTTATATTTCGTTGCAATTCATATATGCAACCCAAATTACACCTGATATTTTTATATTTGAGAAAAATGCCTTTTATACCTGAGATTCGATCCGTGTCTGCTAGCATGCCAGCAGGTGCACGTCTCCACTCGACCACCGAGTGTTTTTATCATTGTTATTTGATTCTTCTATATATGTTTCTGTTTTTATCATGTTTTTAAAAACAACAACACAATTCAAGCAACAGCAATGCATTGTACACGCTTCCCGCACGTAAGATGTATATACTATATGATTTAAGACACCGATACTGAAAACAACAAAGGGGATGCCACAAAGAACTAAGAATTAGTTTATAACATTACAATGTGTTTTATTGACAACATTTAAAATACATTTGTCAGTCAAATTAAAAAAAACATTGACGAATTTCAAATCACGTAGCAATAAAGACTTAACTTAAAATGTGCGCATCTCCAATACTTCTTTTATGGATATCGCAGATTCCATGGCTCCCATACTCAAGAACTGGGCACCAACGTTGTCTATCAGCAGGAATTAATAATAAACCCTAGTTTTGCCAATATGCGAGAAGATAAACGACTGCCGATAAACACGCACGCGGCGCACATAAAGACCAACTCGGTTGTAGATAATGCCACAACCGAATAATACTTAGCGACGGCCGACGTAACAAGCGCACAAGCGAACCGAACCGATGATTAATTGGGGTTGTGCCACATTAGCCTGTTACGAAAGGCCAATGAAGGCAATTACAGAATTAAAGTAAGACACGCGAAAAGTCGCTACGCAGATCGACTGACGACCAAAACACGTGTTAACCGCAGCACAGCGCGCGATCGACTAAACTGCAAAGAGAATTGATATCAGGACAAAGAAGATAGCCCCTACCAGTACTATCTAAATAAGCAAAAAAACTGACGCGCTGCGCCGACACAAGCAGCATAGCAGACACAAAACAAAATTTAAAACATCAGGGTAGTGTTTATTACTTTTGGTTCATTCAATTTGATTTGAGGTAAGCTCTGCTTGTGTTCCAAAAATCCTAAATAATTAAGTGAGACTGCTGGAAATTCAGCTGCCTACTGCACTTTCTGCGATCCTAATATCAAAAAGAATATGGTGTTATAAAATTCATTAGATTTCTCAACAAAATTCGTCGAGCAATTGCTGCTCATCAGTCTATAGTATTAGGAACGCAGAAAGTGAACATAAACAGTTCCCGCCAGATTATTATATATATTATTTCAATTTGTTTCTATAAAATTGCAAATAGGGCCTAAACGGTTAATGCTAGCAAAAAAAGTTACAAAAATGATTGATGTAGAATGAAATTGTCTATAAGAATTTGAAAACAGGATTAAAAAATTTCAACTTTTAATTTCGAGCATTAAGAAGAGAAATCTTTTGCCTTTTTTATAACAAAATCTTTCGTTAAAATTTTTTTGTGCCATTTTCATCATTTTTTAATAAAGATGCCATCTTGTAGAGAATTTTTCAAGGATAAAAAGTATGAAGTTCTTTATCTTCTAGCCCTTGTCGAGATAATTACGATTTAATCTTCTAATTCGGAATGTTCACAATTAAAAATTAAATACATACATTCTCATGCAAGAATGGTCCTTCTACGGTGTCAGACTCAGGTGCAAAATCCCTAAAACCGGCAAAAATTAGTCCTTCGAACATAAAAATGTAATTTTGGGGATCAATTTTTGAGATAATCACAAAAGTTATTTCGAAAAATGATAAAGAAATTAAATACTCACAATCTGATGCAAGAATAGTTCTTCTGCGGTGTCAGACTCAGGTACGAAATCCCTAAAACCGGCAAAAATTAGTCCTTCGAACATAAAAATGTAATTTTGGGGATCAATTTGTGAGATAATCACAAAAGTTATTTAGGAAAATGATAAAGAAACTAAATACTTATAATCTGATGCAAGAATGGTCCTTCTACGGTGTCAAACTCAGGTGCAAAATCACTAAAACCGGAAAAAATTAGTCCTTCGAACATAAAAATGTAATTTTGGGGATCAATTTGTGAGATAATCACAAAAGTTATTTAGAAAAATGATAAAGAAATTAAATACTCACAATCTGATGCAAGAATGGTCCTTCTGCGGTGTCACACTCAGGTACAAAATCCCTAAAACCGGCAAAAATTAGTCCTTCGAACATAAAATTGTAATTTTTGGGATCAATTTGTGAGATAATCACAAAAGTTATTTAGGAAAATGACAAAGGGATTAAATACTTACAATCTAATGCAAGAATGGTCCTTCTACAGTGTTAGACTCAGGTGCAAAGTCCCTAAAACCAGCCAAAATTACTCCTGCGAACATAAAAATGCAATTTTGGGGGTTAATTTGTGAGCTAGGCACAGAAGTTATTTAAGAAAAAGATAAATAAATTAAATACTTACAATCTGATGCAAGATTGGTCTTTCTACTATCTAAAAACACGACTGAAAGTGCTAAAAATTGCAATTTTTCAATTTTTGACGATTTATTATAATTCCGAGATACAGCCGAATTTCCACGGCGTGTTGCTTTATCTAAATTTGAAAGAATAATTGAAATCGCACGAACAGTTCCCGAGATACAGTCAAATTTCCACCGCGTGTTTCAAAAATTCACAAAATTATTAAAAGTTTCAAAGCAATTTTTAAGCGTTTTTAGCGTGTTTATGAGGGCCGGCAATGTCCAATAATATCTCGCCCTAAATTTGAAAGAATAATTAAAATTGCACGAACGATTCCCGAGACGGTAGCCGATTTTCCACCGCCTGTGTCGCAAATTCATAAAAATTTTATAACTTTGAGAGCGGTTTTAAGGATTTCTAGCGTGATTTCGATGATGCTAAAACGTAGCATGTATTTTCACTCGTACGGAATCCCCATGTGGATAACATTCAAGACGCCTCACAAGCAAAGCCTGTTAAACGCAAAAGAAAGTATAAAATTTTGAATGTAATGGAAATATCAAAATAAAACATTTGTTACATTTTGAACAGTTGAAATAAGAACGAATCAAATTCAACTAGACGCACGCGCTGCGGAAGATACTGTAACATCACGCCACAAGTTATCAGTGAAGCCGATAATAAATGTTGTTTATTTACTAACAGACCGGTAGGTACGCCGAGAGAAGGTGAATACAATCCTAGTATGCAATGTCTACACGTATACATTGGGGATAGGGAATAATTTAATTGAAAACTTACCTGAATATGGTACCGCACATCACGTACGATTAGCGTCACTTTCTTCAATTGCGATGCCCATATTAGTTGATAAACAATAGCAAACGGCGGTCATTGAAAGAGAAAATTAGTTCGATTATCACGATTTCTGTGTGTGAAGTCACTTGCAAAAAATAAATTATGAAACTATAACAGCAAAACGCGAGAGATATGCGGTTATCGAATATAAATTGATTAACCAAATTAAATACTCAATAATGATCGCGAGCCATAAGGCATGCTAACGTTCTCACCGGCAGACCGAACCATACTAGACTGTAATACTAAGATTGCAGGCATGCGCAACTGGTTTAGGCACAAACAGAGAGATACAGGTATATAGTACGCTAGTGCAAGCAAAATATATCGCGTTGAATCGAAAACGCGGGACCATCACCAAACAACTAGTTTGATAATACATTCTGCAATTGGTAGACCTACAACGTATGCAACCAAGTAAAGCGGATATACCCGTTAACATTTGCGGAGAGCACCGCGCACTATCCGAATCGCAACGCAGCTAAAGTCACAAACAACATGTAAGCCGAACAGAACCCAAGGACATATGCACACATTTCAAAATTTCAGTGAATATTTAATTGCAAAAATCGTTATTTTGATTATAGTAGTAGTATATATTTCCTATGTCATTTTGTGAACATCTCTACCGATAATACACAAAGTTAATATACTATGTGGACAATATGTCCTTAATAACTACCCTGTATCGGTTCAATTTGTTCCATGATAAATTTTGTAGAATAAAATGCCAAATGTTTGTTAACATCAACATAAAAATAAATTTATCTAAATGCATATTCTTACTTTACGATGAAACGAAAAGTTGCGATGTTTCTAGCACTATTTCAATAAACTTTAAATTAAAAGTTGTTTATGTATTAATTAAAATTAAGTTAATTGTTGTATAAAAAGATTCGCTGCTCATAAAAATCTTACTGTCGCCAGCAAGAGACACACACACAATTAAAACAAACGTTTACAAGTCGGTGTCGTACCAAGCTGCCACTTGGCTGTTATCAGTCGGCGGAGGCGGCAACTGGTCCATGGTGTCAAAGTCGAGGTCGGTCGGATCATTACCGACATCCATTGCATCCAGCACCCCAAAGGGAGAACCAGTACCTCCGTGCGAGCCGATTTCTAGGCCCTGCATGTCTATTGGTATCTGGTCATACCCTAAACACAACAAAAATATTATAAGAATAAAAATAAAACAGTTTTTAATGGATGTTACATATTTACAGTTAGTATTGTTACCTTTTCCGCCTTCGAAACTTTACACATATAAGTTAATTCATGCAGAAAGAAAACAAATTAGGTTAGGTGTTATAGGTAGGATCAAAGTTTAGGTTATGTTGCAAAAGTGTTTCGGTGATTACCTGGTTGCTGATATTGTGCCCGTCCGCCATGACTGCTGTGCACGCTAGGTGGGCTTTGTGCGTAAATATCATATGGTTGATCAGGACTCAAAATGTCCTAGAATGAGGTGAAAAGAAAAAAATGCAAAACAAAATTTACAAAATAAAACACAACGCCCTCTACCAATCAACAAATAATAACTCAAATAATATTTTACAGCAAACACTTTCAGAGTAAATAAATAAGAAAATTATAAATACCTGGAGGTCAGAAGCCATTCCAAGGTCAGCATTCCACAAATTCTCCTCTCTGAAGAGCGAATTACCCAATTCCATGGAAAGACGCTTCTTGTAATCCTGCGGTTTATCTTCACTCATGCGGAAGAGCACTGCAGCTGCATAAGTTGCCACTCCTAACAAATTTAAATAATAAATATTAGAATTAAAACTAAAATTATAAAATATTCTGCATACCTTCATTACGGGAATGTAAAAGTTCCGTCAGCGGGGCAGTGGCACCCTCCTGCTCGATCAACTCCGCACCTTCCTTATCAGCAGCCAATTCGCAAAGCACGCCAGCTGCGACGCGTTGAATATTCTCAATATCATTGAACAGCAATTGCACGAAAATCGGCGTCACCATCTGCTGTCTGATAACCGCCCTGTTGTGTGCTTCACGCGCTAAAATATGCAACGCTCCCACAGTCCCTTCGACAATCTCCTCCATTCTTACACCATCAGCATAATTTGCCGCGGTTGTAGACCCAGCACTTGTTACACTCGACCTCTGTCTTTGTGTATCCTGGAAAGCCCTCATCAACAACTGCACTAAATGATGCACAGCGCCATGTTCTCTCAATGGTGCATGATTGGCCGGACACAATGCAAGGTTGCGAATCAGACCAATCACAGCCTTGATCAGCGGCCATCTTGACGGCGGACTTAGGAGTTTCACGATCACCTGAATACCATAATTCAAACGCACTGAATTTTGCGCCATTTCAGATTCTGAATGCCTTGAAGTTAAATGACGCAAAGCGCACACAGCAGGTTCTGTGATCTCTTCACGATCACCAGCGGTGACAATAGTTCTCACCAGTGCATCAACTCCACCAACTTGACAAACAGTCACCTTGTTTCTATGATTGTTACAAGTCAAGTTGGAGAGAATGCCAGCGGCGCATGTTACAACATTACTGTCTGGTGATTGTAGAACCTGCACCAATGATTGTAACATATTTTCCAAATTCTCAACCTTTGTAGCCGCATCAGACAAGTTTCTCAATGTCCACAAACAGTTCTGCACCAATCGTTGACTGGAATCAACAAGATGCATGGCCAAGGCTTGCATACCACCAGCTTCAACAATGGCTGGTTTATTACTCGAACAAACCGATAAAACCTTCAATACCCTTGAGGTGGTCCACAACAACTTCTCGTAATCATACGAGCGCATAATGCGCACCAACTCAACTGGACCCTGCGACGCAAGAATAATCAACTTGCTTTCTTGATTACCATACGCCAAAATCTGCAGGCAATCAGTAACAATCGCTAGGAATTTCACATTGTTGCGATTCAACAATGCGACCATCTTCTGTAGGCCACCAGCCAAACGCACCGCCATCTTGGATCCGTCTTGATGCAACAGTAAATTATGCAATGTTGTAATTGCATAAAACAAAACACTCTCAACAGGAGAGCTTAGAAGTTTAACCAGCGCTGGAATACCACCGCTTTTGAATATGGCGAGCAATCCCTGTCGATGATGCGATAATTTATGCATTGTTCCAACCGCAGCCTTGGTGGTTTCCAAATCATTGGAGTTGGAAATGGCACGAACGAGAGCAGCGACCATTTGCGGACTGTTCATGATAGCATGACGCGAGGCTTCTTTCTTCGACAGTTGATGCACCATCATGGCGGCCTGCGATACAACAACCTGATCTTCATCATTCAAGAGTTTAATCAACTCTGGTACAGCACGCGTTGCAAGATCAGCGTCATCCTGATAATTAATCAAGTTAACCACAGCATGTTTTAGCATCTGGCTGGGTTCAGCCAGGCGTTGCACAGCCGTCTGATTGCCGGGATCGAATTGAGTTGAAGGGATTTCGATGCCTTCTTCAAGAGTTTCCGGAAACATTGCAGCTCGCACGCGTTGCGAACGCGTTTGATTCAGTTGATTGTTCATGTCATCAACTTGATCCTGTGTGAAGCCTTGAAGACCCTGATCCAGATCAAAAAAGTCCATGTCTTCATCTTCTTTTCCAGTTAAAGATGGAACTTGGGTGGCGGCCCCGGAATGCACGCCAGAATCTCCCATGTAGGAGTTCTGTTGCCACATCAGGGTTTGTTCTTTTGCGTTGATCGGCATGTCGGATTGGTAATTACCATGCGACACTAAGCGAAAAAGAAAATCAGTTAAATATGTCATATTTGTGACTAATATTTGTTACTTACTGTTCCGATTTTGATTCGCCTGCATGTAACTCATGGTGAATCGGTGTTAAGTCGACTTAGCACCTAAAATATCACACAAAACTTAATATTTATTATAAACACGCTTATTTTCTTTTGTTATACGCGCAAATATCAAATTTGATAGTGTTTTCTATTGTTAAAACGAATGACAAGAGAATGGAATGCAGTGTATGCAGTGAATGCACTTATTCAAGAAAAGAGTTCATCGACATGCGCTATCGGCCATTACGTGCACATTGCACCGACGGCTGTGACTTAAAAACCTTCCATAAGATAAATCACATACCTTACACTCGACGAGCCGCACACAACTAGTGATAATCCGCAGGTCGCTTCGTCACACAGTCCGGGAACACAATGAGTGATTCACAATACACGACTGTACCACACCCGCTCTACCTGCGAATGCGAAATGTGGTAATGCCGCGCCGACTGACTCAGCCCGACTGCTCGAGTGATCGTTTGTCGTTGCGCTCTACACTCGTAAACACACACAGCACCCACAACACGACGCACGAATGCAGTGCAGCGCAAACCAGCAAAGCCTTGTCAGCGACGTAATATTTTTCCAAACGAAATTCAACCCAACGCAACTTTGATGCGTTTGATGCTAACAAGTTCTCAACGTGCATTGGTATCGTCACATTGTACTTGGCTTAACATAGGAAACAAGCGACAATTTACATCTACTATAGTGGTTTGTTAAAGTTACTTGCTGCGGAATGAACTGTCACTTGTTTACGTATGCTTTACGAAGATATTACGACAGTTCCAATGGGTAAAGCGTGGCTCCGGACGGAATGAACGTGCATGCTCTATCATTTTCATTTTGTTTGATCTATGTTGTCATCTCGTTCGCTCCAGCAATTTCGTAATCGGGACTGGGTGGACCGGGTTTGAGAGGGCGATATTAAATTCCTCTCTCGTCCTCCCGCTAGCTGTAACTGGGGAAGAAAATGAAAAAAACGTACAAATCAATGCACGGACGCCGCCATGACGGCGCAGAGCGTGCAAGAAGTGCATACTACATTCATTTCTTGAAGAAATTATTCAATTATTCCTGAATGTAAAGAGGTATAATTATAATTCTTGCAAAAACAGATTCTCGATTAAATTCTACAACTGTTTCCATTAATCATTCATTGATAAAATAAATTTATAAAGATTTGTAAGCATTTTTTGAGCGGCATGTATTGTGCGTTCCCTAAACGTGTTTGAATTACATGTGTAATTAAAAAGAGGAAACAGTTAACAACGTGTTGACGGGTAAAGCGCTTGAGGAAGCCACGCAATGCGTAATTAAACAATGTATAAATAGATAGCAAGAGCAAATAACTCCAAACGAAATTAGAATACTGAACACATGAATGAGCATTCACTTCATTTCTTGGAAGATTTCTCACGCAGCAAGTCATTGAAACACGCTGCTGGTATTTCGACTTCTCTGGCTTCCCAGAGTTCAATTTCTCTTGGAATGCTTGAAGAAGATGCAGGTAGAAAGGTCGCAGGTAGTAAAACAACTTTAACTTCCAAACAAAAACGGAGAATTTTTAGAATCTATGCAAAATCAAAAGCTGAAATTACTAAATTATTAATTTTGAACGTGCATGAAAGTAAATTTGTATTTTTTATAAGATAAACAAATAAAACATTATTTTTTTAATGCTACATAATAATAAAAGGATTGCATCGGCCGGGAATCGAACCCGGGCCGCCCGCGTGGCAGGCGAGCATTCTACCACTGAACCACCGATGCTTTATACTCACATCCTCAAAATAACTCAACTAAGCATGCCCTGTGTACCCAATATGCCTGTTAATATGAAAACTAATCATAACTTACCATTAAAATAAAAATATGCTCATCATTTTTAATATTAAAATATATTCTAAAATATTAATTAAATTATACCCCCACAAAAGTGTATCCATCTGATTTTTGCCCATCTGAAGTTACTTTTCACAACATCATCGCCGGTGGTAAGGTGCACGTCGCATGGCCTGTCAAACAGTTCGGCAAGGAAGACATACCACGTATCCATGTACCTAATATTTATAAACACAAATTTAATAAACAAAACATAAATAATATCACAGGTACACACCTCTAGATGTACAAAAACATTCTATACTACTCAACGAGCGCATGTACACAGTGGTCACGCCCCCAATAATCAGCATTTGTGTGCCTAAGTAGGCGGTTGTGTGTCCATGACGCGCTACCTCCATCTGCGCATGCTCCTCCCACGTGTTCGTTTGCGTGTTCCATATGTCAACGCTACTCAAACTCACAGTGTTGGTTAACATGCTGCTATTACGCCCTGCGCCGGCGATGACGTATAGATTATTGTTGATTGCCGAGAAACTAGCGAAACATCTCGGTAATCGAAGGCGGGGCATATCTGTCCATCTTTAAAATAATTTTACTAGGTTAATAATAAAAACAAGAAAAAATCATAATATTTACTGATTTGTGTTAATATCATAACACTCAACGAAATCTGTAAGCGGCTGATGGGCAGATCCGCACATCCCACCTCCAACCCATATTTTATTATCAAATTTCGCGCATGCGCAGCCCATCCGCGGATGACGCATTGAAGCCACATATTGCCAGCACCCTGTTGATGGATTGTAGCGTTCTATTGTATTAGTCACTCTAAAACAATAAAAATGTAATCACACCAACTGATAGCCTAGTAACTTAAAAACCGAACCTTGAATTTTTATCCTGTCCACCAATCGCGTACATATACTGACCAAACACAACCAAACCAAAGTTCTTCCTTCTCATGTTCAATCCACCTTCACTAAACCATGCCCTCTTCACCGGATCAAAACTCCACACTGTGTTAACCACTAGAAACTTGCCTTTAGGGTCATCCTCGCGTGGATCAGACCCACCAACAATATAAATCCGTCCGTTAAGATACGCCACACTATGATGTGTCCTAGGCGCGGGTAATTCACCAACAAACTCCCAAATATTCTGTACTGGAAGATACCTATAAATATCTTTTCCGGTATTCCGGCCTATCCCATACTTGGAATGCACATTAATCCCTCCGAAAACAATGACGCTCTCATGTTCCAAATGGTACAGGGATCCTTCCGGTAAAAAATCACGTTCACGCCGATAAAAATCACCAGATATACTGGGGGTGTGACTTGGGACTTGATCAAAATCAGGCGTAACACGAGGCGTGACTCTTAACACATACGGATCATTTTTAAACCTTGGCGATTTAGTTTTTGATGCTTTTTTAGCAACACGGCGATTTCTAGAGTTTTGGAATATTCGCATAATGCTATCGCGTTTTTTCAAGGATTTTTCAAGTCGATTAGCGAGTCCAGGAATTTTTTTACGCATTTTATATCGTAGATAAGCTTTTTCTATAGTACAGACCGCTTCGTGGGGTGTGAGGCGATAAAGGCGTGGTATCCTTGGAGAAAAACCATCACGTGGTGTCATTCGGGCGGAGTTACACGGGGCGTATCGTAATTGAAACTGTTAACAAAAAAAAAGAATTAAAATATGTTCAAGTAATATAAATTGATGTTTGAAATATTAAGGTAGAGTTTTGCAGTGTAAGCGTGCCAAAAACTCAAACAAAACTATACCTTAAAATTTCTATACAAACTTAGATCACTTACAGTGCAAAACAACCCCAACATTCATCTTAACCTAAAAAATATGCGAATTAGTATTATTAACCACGCCTCTTATCAATGTAAACTTACCACACTTCCTCCTACAGTTACTAAATGTTTTAAAAATGGTTTAATATTGTTTTACGGAGGCGTTACGAATTTATTAATATCCAAAAATAATGCAGTTTAGGTTGTAAGATTGTCTTAAAAGGGCATATCGTTTACCTTCGCGCGGGCGGGAGGTTTTGCCCCGCCCCCGCGCATAAACTCGTCCATGGTGGGCACCTTCGCCGCAGCCGCCCGCTCCATCATCTTCTCCATGCGGTCGCGCGATGGTCGCGGTGATACTTCTCTCACTTTCTCATCCACTTTATTCGACTTGATGATCATTAAATTTCGCCGATAGACGTCCAAATAAATGAGAAACTCGCGATACGTGAAGTAGGTCTTCTCGGTGCCGCTCCAATTTCGCGTGGGTGGCTCCTTTAAAGCCAGGATAGAGTTCCAGTGTTGGTAGTCTTCGTTTTGTTGTCCGTACCAGTATTTAATTATTACAAAACTAAATATTTATGAAAAGTAGGTATTAGAAATAAGTAGGTATTTAATATTTTAAATTTTCTTACGCTAAACCGTCATCAATCATTTTACATATTTCTGGATCCTTAGCCAAATCCCGAAACTCCGGATTGTCGGGGTTGCGTTTGATATCAACAAGTTGCCATGGCGCAACATTGCCAAAACGCACACAGCTGAGTACCTGATGCTTGAATTTGTCACGATTCTCCCAGTCTTGTTTAAGCCATCGTACAGCAGACATAAAAACTTCCATTTCACTTAAAAAATAAACATCAATTAAATCAACCGACCAAAATTATTATCCTACTATAACATACCAATTAACACATATATAATTCGATGATAGAAAAGCCATCACATCTTCCATGTCCAATCTCAGCCAATCTTCCGAAGACACCAGCATAAGATAGAACTTTTCAATGCGCGGCAGCATTAAATCACGCACCTCTGGCAAATTCTTTTCTTTTGCGTCAATGTATAATAAGAAAGCCGTGTCTTCCGCGAATACTAGTGGATTGTCTATGAATGCCCAGCACTGCTCGATTAAATCTTTGATTTTTAAATATTTGGCCGCGTTGAAGATGTCCAAGACGTTTTCGCGATTTAAGTCACGATAGGAGGGATCACCGGTGATCATCCATTCGTAGATGAAGGCGAATGATGCAGGGCTGCACTTATCTGAAGGTAGCTCCACCTTTTTAACGGCTACATAGGTGTGGAAGACTTCGCTGTAGCACTGAAGGACTAGCAGGTGACAATTGAACTCTTCGTTATCGATGTACACTTTACAATCAGCATTTCTAAAATTTAAATTAAGTTAAAATATAACTGATACTTAAAATCGAATGAAATAATAAGAAATCTCTTCGAATTTGCAAATATATATGTTTGTGACGCTTTCGCTTTTAAACCATTGAATGAATTTTGATAAATTTTGATATTGAGATGTTATAGACTAAGGAAAAGCAAGTAGACTACTTTTTTCCGCAAAAATCTAACTTAAAATATGTAAAATAAAAGATGAAAATTGATTTTGAGATGCAATCATAGTAATAGTTATAAAATTCAACGCGAGATAGCATTGCAAAATCTAGTACTCTATACAAATGGACCTTACGTGAAGTTGGTGATGCGTGCATATAATTCAAGATATAAGTTCTTTTTCTCTGGCAGAACAACATTGACCCAGTCGATACTTTCAGTCGCGCTATAGCCCAGACGGCTTAAATTTAGTTCAGGTTCAAGGATTTCGTGCGTCGCTTTGTTTTCGTACTCGGAGGCTTCTTTCTCTTTGCGTATGGGCGCGTCGCCAATTTTGCCCATAAGCACTGAGTCTAAACTTGATCCCAATCCCTAATAAAACAATTTACACAATAATTTCATTCAATTTCTTTTGATGATAATTATGCGGCGTGCTACCTGTTTCATGATGGCGTTAATAGCCGAATTTTTGGTAAAATCCTCCCTCTGCATGTTGCTGTCGTGTTCCTGTATGTTGCAGTTTCTTCTATCCGAAATTTTTACCTCCGTGTGCTCGGGATCGGCGACCAACACGCTTACCCGATTCGATTCATAAACGACCTGAAGAACTCGCACACAAGAAAACGCTTTACACGAAAATCAACACCAACAAAACAAAGAACAACTTGGTGAAGCGCTTCAGCGCTGCATTTACCTGATTTGCATTGACTTTTAAATTTCCGCTTGACGTTGATTTGAAGGGAAAATGAAAGTCGGTCGTAAAGCTAAGTCAAAAATAACGCTAAGCAATTGTCATGGTAATGTGTCACAACAATAATATTACCTGCGTTGGTGTATAGAAGTCTTTTCAGTTTGAACTAGCTTTGTTTGTTGCTCTTCTGTACTTTCTGTTTGAATTTGTTTCTCTAATTCTGTATCCTGCAATATTTCTGGTTTATTTTGTTGCTCGGCGAGAAGTTTTTCCTGCTTTTCAATTTCTTGTTTCAAAAACTTTTGCCGCGCTTTTTCTTTTTTTAATTGCTCTTTTCTAAATCGTGGGACTAGAAAATCATCTAAGTCTAGTTGGGGTTGTAGTGGAGGTGGTGAAGATTTCGCGGAACTTCTCTCACGCTCGAAACGATGCAGATTCTCAAACAAACAGATAACACTTTTACAGTTCTGATTCGAAACTTGTCGTTTTGGAATAGAATCACCACATGCGTTGCTCATACGCGATGTATAATCTTCTTTTTCTTTCTAGCAAAAGTTACCATAAAAAGTTAAAAACAAATTAATATAATGACTTGAAGTGATAACTTACACCAGTACATCTCGTTTCTAGTGGTGTTACAGTTTTTGTAGTAAACACATTCTTCTGAAGCGGCGATTTTCGTTCAAATTTAAAATTTACATCTGATTCTCTAAAAATTAAAAAAAAACGTTATTTCACTAATATAAGATTAATTATAAGTTGGGCAAACCTTATAAACTGGCAGTTGTCGCTCTTCACACGTTTCGTTACACTTTTCTGCAAGTTTAAATGTATATAACATTAATTAAAAAAGAATTTATTATTTGACGCTATTTGACACTAACATGGTGGCTACCTTCATGTCGCATCATATGTGCGCCGAACTATAATATTCAATTAGAAAAGAGTAAAATATCCTTAACGCCTGTATATATTCTGTAAGAAATAACAATAAATACTGTCTCAACACGAATGCGTGTGTTAACTTGACATTAATATTTAAATATGCAAAGCAGAACACCTAAATTTTGAGTTTGACTTTCAAAGAAAACGTGTTTGCAACGCCCCGTCACGGATTATTTACGAACTAAAACGTGTCACACCATTCAATTTATAAACTGAGTGTTATAACTTAACTAAACACAAAAAATAAGTCTATAGATGAATGTAATCTTATTATTAACTGTTATTTTGTTACTCTTTGCGCATTAAATAATTTAAAAATTAATAAAAATGTAAATATTTATAAGTATTGAATAAAAGCTTTAGTTATGTTTACATTTTTTTCTGCTCGTAATCATCCCCACCCAAACAGTTGGTGCTTGCTTTGGCTGGTGGTCAAAAGTCAAGGACTGAAACTGAAAGTTCCAAGGTGGAAAGCTTCCAAAATTGCGTCCGAATTCTGGGTGTCCGCGACGAAAATCCGCCACTTCCACGATGCCCGCACGGACCCACACCACCCCGCTCACCCACACGACGTGCCAATAATCCCAAGACTGATTAGAGATAGGAAAATACATCGATTGTTTAGAGGTTAGGTGCCAAACGAAGGGAGGCAAAAAGGACTGCGGGCCCCAGTTCAAAACAATGGCATTCAGACCACTCACCGATGCCAACTGCGGCGCTCCCAATCCGCTCGTACAACTCACTAGCCATTTAACCCGGGATCATGCACATCAGGAGCAGCATGGGCAGGCTTTTCCAGGCAGCTCAGATCAACTTGTGGAACAGTTCCTCCAGGAAACCAGGGCTGTTCCACAGACATTTCACATGAATGGTAAACACCTAATCTTCACTCTAAATCAATTTTACAACAAAATTTGTTATTTTTAAGATCTAATGCGTGAGATTCACGATATGGAATCGCAACGTGCCAACTTACCGCCAGTGCCTTCCGCGAGTGTGAAAGAACACCTCAATGATGACATGTGGGCCCTTCAATACATCCAGGACGGGATGCACTTCAACGTGCAGCAACAGGACCACGATGCGATCTGGGCAGAGATCTCCGCTCACGACCAAACACCGCATCAACTCAACGCTGAGCATAATATGTGGGCTGAAGAACTGGCGCACGGACAGGAAGTCGCCCAAGTCCAGCAGACAACTAAAGAGCTGCTGGACAGCATGGACGACCCGCAGTTTCAATATTCCAAGGTTCGCATGTCTTCCTGCATTATTGCATTTTCTTATTTGTGTAATAACTAGTTTTGTATTGATTAGTTTGACCCATGGTTTTTTTTGTTTTGTTTCTTTTTTTGCTGGTGGTTGGGGCGCTCCGGCGGCGCGTAGTTCATGAAATTTATGAAGTCTGTAGGTGACGGCGGCGGTGCCATTGAAGCGGGAGACACGACGGGCACCTGGGCGGATGAGTATGTTCAAGGACTCGCGACTGAAGATAGTAGTGGTTTGGCACAGGCATGGGCTGAGGAACATACGGCCGGACCATCTTCAACTACAGGTAATGAATAATAAAGAAATTAAATATAAATAGTTTAGAAATGTTTCTAAATTTAACACCAGATGGTGTTACATGATGATTAGAATATACCGAGTGTTTCGTTTGTAGATGATAACCTTTTTAATTCAAAATTCTGGGATCGCTTGCAAAACGAATGGAAAAAGATGTCCGAACAAGAGGATCACACCGACCATCCATGGCTATCCGATTTCAACGATTATTACGATACGTACAAAGAGTACAATTTCTCCGAAGATAATCCAATGTTTGATGTTCTGGACCCGCTTGCTCGAGGCAAGGAAATGCTTGCGAAAGGAGATCTTCCCAGTGCTGTTCTGTGTTTCGAAGCGGCCGTGAAAAAAGAGCCGGAAAACGCGGAAGCTTGGCAACTCTTGGGTGTTTCTCAAGCTGAAAATGAACAGGTATATATTAATTTAAAACAAATAACTTAAATTATAACAAGAGTTTGAATTTTTAAAAGGATCCAAACGCAATTTGTGCCTTAAAACGATGCATCGAACTCCAGCCGGACAATTTGAAAGCGCTGATGGCCCTCGCGGTGAGCTACACCAATGAGAACTACCCTCGACAGGCGTGCACGGCGTTGGTGAATTGGATGCGTCAGAATCCCGAATACGCGAGCCTCGTCCCGCCGGGATTCGAATTATCTGGGCAAGTTTCAAGCCTTATCGGGCCGTAAGTCTGCCGCAGCTGGTGTCTGGATCCCTTGCTCTTCTTTGTTTCCTCTGGACACACTCACTATTCTTTTATTTTCTTTAATCTATTAACACTACTACCAACACTTCTCTGGATGTAGCTGTAGCTTTCTAACGTTTGCTCTATAACAAATCAAAACTTTAACATTATTTTTGAAATATTTACAATTATTAATTGTTTTTTTTTTCAAATATTTAGTGATCAACTCAAAGAAGTTGAGGGTATCTACATTCGTGCGGCTCAAAAGCGACCACAGAATGTTGACTATGAAGTGCAGTGCGGATTGGGCGTGCTTTTCAACATTTCCAATGAATATGATAAAGCTGTCGACTGTTTTCGTGCCGCGCTCAACGTCCAACCTGAAGTAAGCTTTTCTTCTAATTTGTAATCATTTTACATTGTAATGTTTAATTATTTTAGGATGCTCGACTTTGGAATCGACTCGGAGCAACATTAGCAAACGCGTCACGTTCCGAAGAAGCCGTCGACGCGTATCATCGTGCATTAAACATCGAACCCGGTTTTATTCGGGCGAGATACAACGTTGGCATCACTTGCATCAATTTAAGTGCCTACAAGTATGTTTTCTGAACCTCCACTGTCTATACATACTTTTATACAATACAAATTTTAATTATTATTACTTTCAGAGAAGCCGCTGAGCACTTCCTGATGGCATTGAACGTGCAGTCGCGCGGCAAGGACCTCACCAATTCGCCCGGTCAATCGCAAATGTCCGAAAGCATCTGGTCGACACTGCGCATGTGCATATCACTCATGAACCGCACCGACTTGCGTCCGGCGGTGGACGCGCGCGATCTGGACACGCTCAACCGTGCGTTCGATATTCACGATTGAGCGTGGTGCCAAGTCGGAGAGGGTACAATGCATTTAGATTTCTAAGATTTTTTACAATGAGAGCGCGAAAAATTACTAACTAACCTAAACTAACAACTAACTAAATGATATAAATTGATAACTGTGAAGATTACAATTGTTTCAAACAAATTTACATAGTATACTGGGTGGGCATACTGTGAAAGCAGTGAAGAAAGATGAAAAATATTGAGAGTGTGGAGAGATGTTTTAAATAATTGTTAAATCCGAAATGATAAAGAGATGTTATTACCTATCGATTTTTTTTGGTGATTTTGTTATGTTAAATTTGTTTTCTAAGATGAATATAAAAATAAAAGAATGGTGATAATTATATATGACAATATTAACTTTTGCTACTTTTTTAAGTGCTTATCTTGTCACAACTGTTATATATTCAGTGTTGCAAACCTGAGAAAAGTATCTTTCATTTTACACATGATATACGAATTATATAAACTGTTTAGTTTAGTTTTATCTCCCAGATGTTGTTTGTGTACAAATCATAACCAATCAAACAAAATACCATGCTTTTTTCCGATTTTTGCAATTAGCAACGTCAAAATTGCAGTTTTTGCACTATTATAGAAAATAAACTACTTTTGAGTAATATATAACACCATTTTCATCGGAATTCTTTAATGAGTTAGTAAAGTCCACTAGCTTAAACGGTTAAGTCTTAAAATCATGGCTGCTGCTTCTGGTTCGCAAACAAACTAAATTGATTCAGCATGCCGCTAGTGTATTTAATTTACTTCACTCGTTGAGTTTCGCTTAACAAATAAATTATTTCTCTCATATCCCGTTGCATTCTTCACTGTCGACATAAACGCAAGTACAAAATGTTCAAGTATCATGACAAGCTAATATTAGAAAACAAAACACAGTTTTAAAAGTGACGCCGACTGATTGATGCTCGTTTTTTTTTTTAGTTATCGCTACTTTCCGGCGCCGTGCGAATGACGGTCGCCTGTCGGCCGTTGGTGATATCGTCGTCGTCAGCGGGCGCTTCGGCCTCATGCGACGTGTCCATGTTGAGCGAAGAGGTAGAATCATTTTTGCGCGGCGACGTCTCGTCCGTCGTCTGCTTCTTGAGGTGCTGGCGTTTCTGCTCGGCAGTACGCCGCTCCTGTAGGAGTCGGTGGAGGTGTTTAGTCTCTTCCGGCGAGGCCATCACGAGGAACACTTTGATATCACCGGCTGTATCAATGGCGGTGAAGCGGACACTTTTTGCTGAAGCTTGTTCCACTGTCATTTCCGCCCAAATCTTAAACATTAATTAATTAAAATTTAAATAATTGTTATTATTAATAACAAATACTTACTTTGGTATTCAAAATAACTTTGTGCACACCTGAAGTACGAAACACCAGCCTTGATTGTGTGTAGAACTCATCATTGTCCTTATCCGCCACGATCAGATCGTTGAGTCGTAAAATACCTCGCCCCCGCTCCTGCCAATTACCAACTCCCTTATCAAACGCGAAGAGTTTGCATGAAATCTGCATCACGTTCGTTTCATCCTCCTCGCCTGTCTTTGTCTCAACTTCTTCGTATTTCCTCTTATTATTTCGCTGTTCCTCATATTCTCTCGCTGATTCTGTGAGTGATTTACTCGCGCTGCCCGGATCGCTGGTGCTTACAGGCGCATCTTTAATAGCTGTACTAAACAACATTTCTTCCCTGGAAGAAGTGCCATTTGTAGCCGCGCTGGATGTGCAAATTCCCGTCGATGACGAAGGTTTACAATCATCTGATGTCGACGATACATTCGAAGTACTAGTCGTGTTTTGAGATGATGTGCCCAGCGGATCGCTAATAACGCGCTCTTGAAGATTTTGGCCGAAAACGAAGTTTGTGGTGGCGACAGGAGGTTTATCCTTTTGACTGTCTGCTGTTGCGGATGAAACTGATGCTGAACCAACCACAGGCGGTGATTTTGACGAGGTTAGCAACGGCATGAATTTCGGCGTTTCACCGTTTGTGCTCTCGACTTTTTTCTCATCGGAGTCGTGATCGTCTGTGGTGGAGGCTTTCATAAACGGGTTGAGTTTGCCGGGTGTGAGCGAGAACGGTTTACTGGTAGTGTGAACATGCTGTGAGAGTTGTGACGGCCGCAGGACTGAACTGCTCGCACTGGCGGTCGATGGCGCCGGCGAGGATGGTTTCGGTGCGAACGGATTGCCAAATCTGCTGGCAATAGGCCGTGGCGACGGGAAACAGATTGTATGGCCAATTGCTTCATTATCTAAAATTATAACCAATAAATTGAAGCGTTGTTTTTTTTATAATATTGTAATCACGCACCGTTATTTTCAACTTCATCGGACGGAGCGTCGACTTTCATGATGATCGGTGACTTGGGGACTGCGTCTGTAATACACAAAACAATTTAGAATTTAGAATAAAGTTTCCGTCAGCCTATCGAAGATGCGAAATGTAAATAAATAAACTTCGAGTGCCGTGGATGTTTTGCTATCAGGGGTGCCAATCGAAGGTCAGAGAAACAAGCGGCGGATGCAGCGAAAAACGTGCGACCCGGGAAAATACTAAACGAGAAAAGAGTGTGGATTGTCGATGCGCTTACCAGCTTGCGAATCTGCCATTTTCGGTGGGTCGCGGGGTCGGCCGGTCGTCGTTCCTCTTCACAGCACGACGCGAAGCTGACATTAATGGGGAAATTGCGCCGACTGACGAAGCGAACGCGCACGGCTCAACCGCACCACAGAAATACCACTACTAGACTAGTGAGTTTGTGTGAGTGTATCTTTGGCTACGGCGACCTTGCGGTTTCAAAACGCGGTACCAACTGTAAATTTTCACACCAGACTTTATACAACCGGGCTTGCACCAAATTTAAAGATTTAAGCGACCAGCGATGTTTCGATAGTTTCAAATCAGTGCTTTAACCATACTGTATATTTCCGCCATACTGCATGCAGTGTCAGTGCTATCTGCCGGCCAATTTTAATAATTTGCATTTAAACTAAGAGAAAAAACTTCTAAGCTTTTGTTTGTTTTCTGAAATAAATTATATTTTGTATAAGATAAATGCGTTATATAAACTCCATACTATCACCTAGAAACCTGCCTCACCTGTTCTTAAACACTTTAAGGTTTTAAATATCAACCTAAACGCCTCATATACATTTGTTAATCAGTGATAGCCATTTTTGTTGGTTGCTTATATATAAATAAGCTTGCGTCTGCAAGAAATACATTCGCTGAGGCAGCGCATTAGGCAACCACATCATCGACTTTCACCGTCTCGCGGAGAGCCTCCTTCACTCACTTCCACGCATTCTTTGGGTTCTTCTTTTCTGTCTGTCTACCACCGCTCACGTACTTCGCCAGCTAGAGCGCAACTGGTGCGACGTGCTTCGCTTGATTTACAGTTTGCGGACGCATGTGAGTCGCAGTGCCACGTTCAATGGAGATGCGGCGCTTACTGATAGCGTCGGCGGCGTGCGTCTTGCTCGCCGCCTGCGTCTACTCGCAGTCGACGATTCCATGGTACGAGGATCTTCCAGCCGTCGCCATGGACTACAAAGTGCACGTCGATCCAGGCAAGGAGGACTGCTACTTTCAATATGTGAACACAGGAGCGACGTTCTTCGTCAGTTTTCAAGTAAGTTTTAAACTAAACACACATTTACCCCTTATTGGTAACTTAGAAATCACCAAAACCGGTTGTGATTAGACAGTTTAGTTAGGAAAAAGTTAGAAACAAATGGAAAACATGACTTTGGTATAGGCAACCTGTTTTACACAAGTTTTAAACGATAAAAACTTTGAGACAACGTGTAATATTACAGTATATCTCATTAACATGATAAAAACAGATAAAAATGGTGTAAAACAAATAAAACAATAAAAAGATAATTGAATTGCTTCAACTTAACAAAAAGGAATAATAACATAAAGTTGCCATAGGCAACCCAACATACACATTTGAGAAACAACCTTTTTAAGTTTTAAATTACTTTCATGTAACGCAATATTTCTTATCGCAGGTATTAAGAGGAGGTGATGGAATGGCTGGTTTTGCTGTCCGACATCCATCCGGCAAAATCGTTCACCCATATCAATGGAAAGCCAACGGCGAATATCAAGATCCCAAATCCGTTGGCGGATATTATTCGGTCTGTATCGACAATCAATTCTCGCGTTTTGCTGACAAACTAGTAAATCTCTACATCACTGTAGTGCGCTATGACAAATGGGAGCAGTACACCAAGGAGATTGAAGAGATCAACATGAATATTCAAAACTTTACCGTAAGTTCTTCATAACAAATAATATTGATCCAAATGCTTATCATAAATAAATACATGATAAAATATTTTAGGGAACATTAATGGTAGTCGAGCGGAATATCAACGACATGCAGCAAACACAGCATCATTATCGATCGCGCGAGTCACGCGACTATCACCAGCTGGTCACCAAGGACAGCTACGTGCTGTGGTGGTCGTTCGCGCAGATCAGCGTCATCGTCATCGCATCATTCGTGCAGGTCTACTTCGTGCGCAAACTATTCGACACGAAGAGCTCCGGTTACAGCCGTGCGCGAATCTAAAACACTTCCAATTGACTTCCTCACCTCTCGCAAGTATCTGTAGGTGAACAAGAGTCAATTACCCATCGGCTCGAATGAGATTAATCTTTTGATAGCGATTTACTTATGAAAAATTGTGATCAACGTGCAAGAAATGTTTAATTTTATACTGACACTCGAATCTACGAACGAGTTTTATCATTATTGATTGTTTATAAATATTTATATCAATTTTTTGTGTGATCGAATCGTCTTCACCCACAAAAAACAAACAGAAAATAAATTTTATTCTAGTTATTTGATAGTTTCTCTAAAAATTATGTTAGATATGCAACCGCACATACATCTAACACAAGAATAAAGTTAATACCATGCGGGAAAACATAAATTGGTAATAAAACATTCACAGAATAAAAAGATAAATATCATAATTGCGCAATATACAATAAAATAACATATGCAATAACATTATATACATGTTCAATCACTTATCTACTATTTTTGCTCATTTTATTGCTTAACAATTACTTTTAAAAAGATTTAACTAGAATTGGAATGTATATATGGTATTTTTTTAGGGTAAGGCAGTTCATGCTGAGACTTACCTCTTCACTTTGACTTCAGATAGTTTTCGCTGTACGCGAGCAGTCGATATCTTTGTTTTAAATTGCGCGCGCGCACATGCGGATTGGCGACCTCCACGGTGTAATTAGCAGGAAACCATCCGGTTTCACCGTCGCGTATCCTCTCACCGTGATACCAACCTAAATATAATTATACAACTTATTTTTATTGGTTTTACGAAGTAATAATTGACACTTACCGTCGGCCATTTTTCTAGTGACATTTATGACATCGCCCCTAGTGATAGGCAACTCATCCGGCTGATTGGCAGTGTAGTTGTGCACCGCTGTCACTTGTGGACAATCCCAGCATTCATACAGCGTCTCCTCGGGGTTTTCGGACTTTGGCGGAGATAGAGCCTCCATCCATCGCTCTCTATCACTTTCCGATGCACAACTGAGCAACATCTCGACAGTCTTCTCCTCGTGATTCTCCAAAATAGTGAGGAATATAAGATGGCGGCCTTGTGTGTCCTTCGTTGGCAGTGTGGCCAAGCTCTCGCTGTTTAACTCCAAATATGGACGTGAGCAATAATGTTGAACAACGAATACAGAATCACTAAAATTGTAAAGAATGACATTTGATATCAGTTATTTATATAAATCGTTTTAAAAAATACTAACCCTTTGTTTTTTGCAACGATGATAATATCATTAAACAAAAACAAGTGAATAGGAATTTTGGTGAATCGCTTGCCAAATGTAAGTTTGACATCATCGCCGCGATTGAGCATCTGCGTGAGTGGACCAGACCTCACCAACCAGCGCTTACCGTTGACCAACTCAAATGGAGGCACACCACGCGCAAACTCCATCTGGGCAGCTAACTTGCGCATTTCAGTAATGCGCTCCATGTTCCTAGCGCCCTCATTGCAACGTGTCACGATCTATAACCAAACAAATAACATCAAAATATATAATTTTAACTTCATTTCACGTTTAAATTAACCTACCTTATTTAATGTAGCTAACGCATATTGACAGCTTTGGTATTCCTCGTCTTGTGGTGACAGTCGTTTCAATATGGCGTCGATAAGAAGCGGCCATCGCGTGATGCGTTGCATTGGTAACATCAAAAACGAATATAGTGTTAAAAGTTGACACACTGAGTTGGCTTCCAATTGTCGTAGGAATTCGACAAAATTCGGACGTTCCCTAATGATAATAATAAAAATAAAAATAAAACATTTTCCAAGAAAATTATACAATACTTACTTAAGTCTCTTTAAAGTTTGATCCAAAACAATCTGATTCTCACAATACGCAACATAAACCCCAAAGTTTTCTTCAGCATGTGTCAATACAATATCACACACGCCATGTAAAAGAATATTTTCCTGCCAGCAACGCTCAAGGTCACTCAACAACTTCTCCGAGCACTCTTTCACCGGCATAATCTTCCCGTACAGTATCTCCTTATCATCATCATTGAGCAATTCGCTATCTCTCAAGCGCTTAACAAAATGTTCCGTAAGAACATGCAAACTATTCAAATAAGACGCTTCAGAAGTAAGCATTTCAAACTTGGCTTCCTGTAACTTCTTCTGATGCGTTGACAGTGTCGATAATACAGTGCTCTGCACAACTTCAGGTATCTCACACCAGAGGGTACGTGCAACCGAAACATTATTCCTCGGCGAGACAATTTCCATCGCCGACGGACGACTGGAGAACGACGTGCGTTTATCCTTGGCGATTTCTTCATAATCATCATACATATCAGACAATCCAGAATTACACACGGATTCAAGCACGGCAGCATCGTAGAATTGATATAAAGGCTCATCTTGTAACCTAAGTTGAATGTCACCTTGGAAACTATTAAAACTGTCATCTTTTCGTGTATCAGCGCTGTCATAACTCTTAACTGACGCGTTGTAGTAATCTTTTGTTTCGTAGGTGGCGACACTAGCGCTGGTGGTACTTCCAGCGCTGTTTTCCGATGAAGTGGTACCAGTGCTGAGTGGAGATCCACTTTGATATAAACCTACCTCAGCATACCAGAAACTATTCGGTCGACGTGGTAATGCAGGCGCTTGCGCATCAGGCTTAAACACACCACATTCAGCATACCAGCTTTGTGAGCGTGATTTTAACGAAGGCGGTGTTGGGGTTGAGGTTGTAGAAGGAGTGGGGGAGGTGGGTGCTGGAGGCGGTGGCATTTGAGGCCTGACTAGATTCGGTTTTGATTTGCGTTCGGGGCGTTCTACGGGTGGTTGTTCATTTTCCTGCTCATCTACGAGTGTGGAGTCTAAATTAATAGGGTCGGTAATGTAGAACGTTGATTTTGGCCTGTCTGCAAAATGGTCACCCACATCACCTGTCATTGACATGCTTCGTTTGAATTTATTTAAAAATCCACGTCTACCAATTGTGTTTTTATCTGTGATTGGTGGAGGCGGGGCTTCTGCTTCTATGCTGTCAAGATCAGTGCGTGATTTTCTTTTGGTGATACGACTCAGGCTCTTGGAGATGTCGTTTTTACGCATGGACCAATTGCGTCGCAGGCGTTTCATGACGTTTTTACCAGCGGAGGCGGCAAATCTAGTGAATGCATACGTTTGATTAGCTGGGGGTTCTGGTAATTGGGTATTGCCCATGTCAACACCGCTGTCAGTCTACAAAAAAAAAACAAAATGGTGTTAAATTGTAGCAAAAAACACTTACAACGGAAATAAATTAATTTACCTTGGCGAAAGAATTGTCGCTTTCGCTATCGCTCTCGAACGAGTCGAAGTCGTCGTCATCATCGAGATGACCTTCGATTTCGTGCGACGGATGATGATGCAATGCCGGCAACTGATAGGTTTGCGGCTGTTGGTGAGCATGGCCGCCATTTTGCGTGCCGACCGGTAGACCATCACTGCCGTAGAGCGTCTCGTACGTGTGATCCGAATCCGTGTCGCCTTCAAATGGACAATGAAACAAAAAAAAGTTGAATGTAAATCGCCATCAAATGACGTCATGTAAGACTTAAACATGGGAATATGCGAAATCATCAAATAGAAAACAAACAACCTAAATCATTATAATTTAGATTTAAAATTAGTGGGAATAAAATTCGTACAGATTTTGGAATTGTGACTAACACGCTTATGCAACTTACATAACACAAAAAACATGAGAGAATAAAAAATGTTTCAAGATGATTTCGCTGGTTTTTTATATAGAAATATGTTAAAAATGAAATCTCGAATACAAAAATTGAGCACAAAACGTACACGAAAAGTGAGTAAGCTCCGGTGTTGAATGTTGAATGAATGTGATGAAAACATAGACAAAAAAAAAGAAAGCGAGACGCCTACGCGGAGTGCACACGTCAAAAAATGTTTAAAACTAAATCAAATCATGTAAATTAAACAAAACAAAAATAAAAAACCCAAAAATTATGTTTTGATAATATTTCAACAAATAAAACAGAAATAAACACTCATAACCTCAAAATATTACAATGTCATTTACATAGCACACTTTTGAGGTTAAATTATTTATGATATGGATATTGACAGCTGTGTAATTTACTTTCAACTAATTTTTCATTTCGTTCCGGCATTCACATCGACGCATTAGCATCACAATGTGCTCTCTTTCATCAATAAATAATTTTCCAGCGCAAGCGGCCGCCGTTCGTGCGCGAATTCAATGCGCAATTGATCGCCATTTTTCTCCGCACGTCGATTCTGGTTTATTCAATTTTGCATAGGTAAATGTACGAGTATATACGCGCATAACAAACTTTCGCAGCAAAAGCAATTAGAAATGAAATTACGCGCAATGCGCAGGCAGGCAATAATTGCTAATCGTACTAATTGTAAGTAATTCAAGCCAATTCTAATCGAATAGTATGTTATTTTATGAACTGCATGAAATTTGAGACGTTTCTGCAGAATAATATGCGTAAATTTCGTCGAAATTGAAACATTTACTATGACATTTCCATTATTTCACTTTAATATTAATTAATTAATTATTTAAACAATTAAGTGATTTGTACCTAACATGTTAATATTTACTTTTAGAAGGAAGAATAGTTCATTTATCTCTATTAGTTTCGAGGTTATAACTTTTTTAACCTTTAAGTGCACATTTTCACTTCCGCCATCATTAATACAAAATGGCTGCGGGTATGCACTTGCACATGTATTTGTTTCTAAATTATCTTTCAAGCGATACCCTGACAAACATTCTGCCATTTTTATAACCTGAGTTATAAATATAAACATTTCTGTTTTTCACTTCCATTTGACCTGATATAAAATGAGCACAAACTTAATTTAATTCCCATGCGCATGCGTGCCAAACCTTCAATTAAATAATTAAATATGTAAATTACCTATAAACGAACAAACTTGCTGTTCCTCTAACCCCGAACGCGGAAAACACCTATTCGTACACTTCGTCGTGTGTGTTCCACCACGTCCGCCATTTTGTTGACTCGAACATGTTCTACCCAACTTTGCACCGTTCGCGCCCACCTCAGGTGTGCATCGAGCGTAAAATTCACATTCACGCACATAATAACACCTATCATCCTCGTGTGTAACAACACGTTTATTATCACCGACGTTATTGTTGGTCACATCGTTGCTATCACTGTAATTACGCGTGTGACCGTAATGGTCGGGTGTGTTTAGGAGCACCACCGATGTGGACGTAATGCACACGCGATCGCCGACATTTGAGCGGCGCGGCCGCCGAATCGTACTCGGCGCGGAACGTGGCGGCGGCGTAGGTCGACTATCACCTAAGGGGACGGCACGCACCGTCGCCGCACGTACCACCGATGAAGATTTGGACCTTTTGTGTCTGTCCACCGACATAGCGCACGCCGATTATATTCCATGGATTGTCACATTACACAAAATTCACGTGAAATTCACTCATAGAGAACATAACCTTAAAGTTTTGGGTACACAGCGCCATCTACTCTAATTTAACATAGATTTTCACAGATTTTTCACTGGTTATCGTTGAATATATGCTGTTTTAACCATTTTAACCAACACGAATCTTTGTACTCTAACTAAAACTTGTTATTGAAGTGAAGGCTGTCGGCAGAGTGGCGGGCTCGCGTAACAACAATAACGTAACCGCGACTGTCGAACGCCGCGAACAAAGTGAAAGTACTGCACGGCGGTGCACAGGTTGACTTCGTGTACTCTGCGCAGAAGCCGAACGAGAACGCGCGAATGCCAAACCAAACCAGCGCCAGCACGACTCACGAGGTTGGAAGTTGGAACATTGGAAGTTGACCAACTGTTGGGTGTTCGGAGCAGCGAATTCAGAAGAGTCATGAGAGAGTCACGGGGCCATGAGCACACTCGGCAGCGGCATTTAATTTGCCGAATAATGAATGAGTACTGATCATGCGCGAGTAATGAGCGGAGTGCTTTCAAGAGCAGCTCGAAAATTCGTGTCAGCAGATGGGTAGATGGGATAAATGCCTATAAGTCCGTCAATTAACTCAAATTACAAAAGTATATGCTTTGGAAGCAGTCGTGCAGGTTCGATTAAAAAATTAAAGAGGAAATTAACAGCTGTTGCTATCATTTGAGGTTAGGTTGTTAGGTTATTAATGACTTTTTGGTATTTATTACTTTGGCTGGTGATAAAACAACTGAGTCATGGTGTGCGATTGTTTAATACCTGGGTTTGTTTCCAGAAGTTGATATACGCAAAATTTGCAATCAATTTGCAAGTCGACGAAACCGGTTTCAGCCTGTGTTACGGCGCGTGGCATGCCCTAACTGGTTGCCGGTTGGAAAATGCCGCGAATACGCTACGAAACTGTTGACATCGTGCTTGAATGCAGAAAATGCAGCGCTACACAACATTACTAGACAACTAGCCTACTTCCTCAACACAGCAGCATCACTCAACTAACCTGAGAGAATAACAACTGTCAAATCTGTCATATTCTCACAAAACGTCAAAAACAAAACAAAAAATCCTAAAAGCACTAAAAACACTAGGCAACTACCCTAGTTCCTCAACGCAGTACCATACCGATCTAACCGCACATATTGACAGCTGTCAAATCTGTCAAATTCTCACAAGAACGTCAAAAACAAAACAAAAAGCACTAAAACCACTAAAAACACTAGACAACTAGTCTAGTTGTTCAACGAAGTACCTGACTGAACTAACCGCACATAATGACAGCTGTCAAATCTGTCATATTCGCACAAAAACGTCAAAAATCAAAAAAAATATTCAACAACTTTTATATTCACGCAACACACACTAAGTATTAAGTAATTATATAATCAAATTACTTAGTTTCTATTCAATTAGCAGAAGTTAAGTAATACTTTAAAGCGTTAAAACATTAAATGTGTTTTTTGGATGAATTAAATTACTCTAACCTTGAACATTCGCCCGAACATGAACGTGTTTAAGGTAAAAAAAAGATCGTGCGTTGGAAAAAATCCGAACAGAAATTTGCATAAACATTAAGCGATATATAAATTATAAACGTAAGAAGTTCGAAAATGAAATCGTAACTCCAACCCACGAGCCGCCATCTTGGCCCACGCACGTGCTACACATGCATTTCATTTATAACTGCTTTGTAACATAAATTGAATTACTTCTCTTTCAAACACGTAGAGCCCATTATTATAATAAACGTGAAACGATTACAGGTATTATTAATATTTATATACAGTGTGTCTAATACAAGAAAAAAGTGATTTCGCGTGTTGAAATTAAAAGTTACTCTCACTTATGATTATATTTACGATTATAATAATTAAGAATATTATTCACATTTGTTAATTATTTATTGTTATTATTATTATTATTATAATAAATACGTGTATAATATGCACGCATTGTTTTCTGTTTTTTTTTGCGTTGCGCGTTGCATTGTATTTAATTAATTGGCATCGTGAGTGCAGGCAATTGTTTCTCGCTTCACAAGCAACAAAAGAAGGTGCAGACGTTCAGAAATGCAGAAATTCACATTCTTCTGATTCTATTTAATACTATTTCTGTAATTTTACTTTTAGTTTTATGTAGTGAAGTGTTGATTGCGGGTATTTCGCAAAAAAGAGCGCAGAATGAAAATTTTAGGTTAAGTAAAGCAATAATGGGGGTTTATCAACAAATTTACTCGTTGAAATGTCACCGGGAGGTTAGTTTAGTAAAAACAGTCGCGTGTTTGTCGCGAGAGCATAACCTAACCTACCAAAGTCACCTAACAAAGTTGAGTTAGTTACAACGTTTATAACTCAAGAACGGCTGGACAGATTTTGATGATCTATGATTTGTTTGATTCCTCTTGGTCCAGAATAAGAGAATAATTATTGAAATATTAAAAATTATGACTTTAAGGGTGTTAAATAAGAGATGAAAGTTGATATTGACATTTAATCATAGTTATAGTTAAATAATTGAACCCTAGATGGCGCTAAAGTGCATTATTATCATTTCTTATTTCTTTAAAATAAAATAACGAATTCTGGGTCCAAGAAACAAGAAAGTAAAAATTAATCACATTTTACTCCTAAGGTGAATTAATTGAGCAAAAACAAAAGCAAATCGAATCGTCAAAATGGCGGATGTTGTCATTAAACGAGCGTTTTTATTGTTTTGTCGTTTTCTATTTCGATTGTTTCACCTTGTAACATTTCACGACACTAATGTTACACTTCAAGTTGTCAAACAGCTCACCACAAAAAGTAAATCATGTGTGTAATGAACGATGACCACACTAATGGCTAAATTACCATTGTCTTTGTTTATTATTAAGTCTCATTCGTATGCGGTGAGTGAATGATATTGATATATTGGTTTTTGATTGAATGTCATTGATGCAAAGACGAAATGAAAGTCAACGCGGTGTAAATAATTTAATACGCGATGGTAACGGATGGTAATGGCGTCACTGATGGTATAATATTATGGTATAGTATTATTAATAACATAATAGTCATCTAGGCCAAGCCTCGGTTAATCTTTCGCGGCGCGTTGCGTCGGTCGTGCCGCGAGCTGTAGGAATCTGGGTGAGATGCTGATGTTGGTTGAGCTATCAGACGCATTCCGCAAACAGGTTTGTGTTTAGGTTTTCTAAGCAGCTAGCTATAAGTGCACATAACAGTGTAATGTAACAGTTAGTTCTCTTACCTACCTTACAGCTATTTATAGATACTCAAGTGATTACGCGCCAAATGTAAAATTGTAAAGGAGGAGATAATTTAAGACGTTGTAAGGTAAAAGTCTTAATATGTATAATGATTATCAATTTTTTCATCGATAGTGGATCTAATCTACTTTCAAAAGAGCGTAGGTTTATTTAAATAAGTGCACGTGCAGCTTTAGCACGTGCATTTTAATGTGACATGTCGGGTAAAAGTTTTTTTAGAAAATTAATTAATTATCAAGTTGCTGCTTTGGTATTTTTTCATTGAAAGTATCTACATTAATTTTAGAGGTCACAAAATCATATAAAATTATGTGACAAGTAATTAATCCTCTTTAATTCTAATAGATATTTTAAACGCGAGTGTATGGGTTAGTTTGTTTGTTTGTGACGCTTCCACGCAATAACCATTCAATCAATTTTGATACATTTTGGTATTTTGATAGTTTTGACCTAGGAAAAGAAAATAGGCTACTTTTCGTTGCTAAAATATAAGTTACAGGGTGTAAAATAAGGGATGAAAGTTGATATGGAGATTCAATCATAGTTATAGTCATATTATTCGAATCGAGATGGCGCTAATGTGTGTAATGTGCATTTGTCATGTTTTTAAATTAAAATTGAGAATTTTATTGTCGAATTCAGCACATAATAGGTCTTGAGCACAAAATCACTAGTCAGGAGTACGTTATATGCATTTTTATCAACGCGACGTTTAAAAATGTACAAAATTCAAATGTTCACATTTTGTGCAGAACACAACAAAGGCATTTGACCAAAGATCTTATCAAATAACAAAGAAACTAATACTCTATATTATGCAATGACGTTTGTTGAAATTAGTGCACGTGCAACTTTGTTATCTGCACTTTGGTAACACGACTCATGTTACAAATTAGAAACGTCCATTATAAACCAAATTAAAGTAGTTTGGTGTTTGGTGTCACCTTTTTCAAATGAAAGCAAACCCAAATAGATAAAAATCTTATCACACCAAAAAATACTAAACTAATTCTCATTATAATTTAACTGATAATAATGTATTTAGTACAAATTCAGATACGAGCATGTTAAAATGTTACCAAAACAATTCAATTATTGTTTAAAAATGAATCAGTCAATTAGGTAAACAAAAACGATCAACAAAAAGTTCATTAAGATAAAAATGTATTGTATAAATATAATAAAATGATAATTTAACTAATTAATTATATTCTGTTACTAAATTTATTAATATCCGTTAATTTATAATAGCAATTCACGCGGATCTCAACAACAAAACTTCTTTTGATAGTCGTGTATTATATTCCCGTTTAATTAAGTAATTAATTTCATTACTCACCGTGATTCATCTTCTTTGGCACTTTATTCCACTGCCCGCGGATTCTCTGCGACCATCCAGAGTTTTTCTTCGTGACTTTTTGGTGTCTTGCTTCACGCACTCTGCGAATTTACAAAAAAATAAAAATTTAACAATCTAAAGATAATTATTATATTAAAAATTGTTTAATATTTGATTGGATGCGTTATGAACGAGAGCAAAAGTTAGACTGAATGCACTCAAACCCGTGCAGCAATTAACCGCTAATTGGCGCAAAGAAGAAATTATTGAAATGAAATGCAGGTATGGCATGCAAAACATTTATCAAACTGCACGCATAAAAACAAAGAGAAAATGAACGTGATATCATCATAATGAGAAATGAAGAAAAATGATCACACTCGCAATATGATCAACGCAATGCCAACGCAAAGAAAAAAAACAAATCAAACTATGATTAGGATTGGATCACAATCACATTTTATGAGAAAAGTGCATTCGAGAGAAAAATGTGAAAGTGTTATTAATACCTACCACAAAGAAAAAGTTAATGCAATAAACAATTAACTTGAAATTAAAACAAAAAACAGAAACACAACTTCAAGTCAAAGATATTAGACATTTAACATAGGCAACCAAGCATACACCTAACAAACCTGCAATACTCAACAAAACAAACAAGTAATGTCGGTTGCATACAGTCACCTGTAACAGTTTCTAACAGTTCGAATTTCTCAAAGTAAAACAATACGAAACCGAGGAATAATAGTGAAATAAAGAGTTAATAACGGGCAATCAAAGCATAGGTGAGCGTATGTAAACCTGTAATTACAACATTCCATACAATAACCGTGACATAACCGTGTGTGGATTGTTGTGATTGCAGTGAATTAATGTTTTACAAACAATTTCAGATTATGAAGTCGTACTTACATGACGAATTTATTCTTTCGTGCATCATCGTCACACTCATGATCGGAAATATCCACCCAATCATCGCTACAGCCACTCAACTCACTGACAGCTTTAACACTACCACCATTTTGACTACTTCCGCTGAAACTAGCGCAACTACCACCGCCAATATAAGTATCCAGTACTTCTTCTGCCCAACTAGTAATAGATCGACCATAAATACTATTACTTTGTTGATCGGATTGCACAGAGTGCACAGAAATGGAATTTCGTTTCTTGTCGCATTCCAGCCGACTTCCACCGTAGATACTTTCGTAATTATCATCACGTTTACTATAAATACTCTCGTAATAATTAGATTCGTCGTTTTCATACTCGATAGATGGCGTTGATGATGCAGAAGATGGCGGACGAGGTGGTAATGGCTCATGTTGATTCCTAGATAAACCAGCAGAGCTTTTTCTTGATCGAAACCGGTCAGAAGATTGACGTGAACATCTTGATAAAGATTCATAAATATTTTCTTCGTGGGAATCCTCCTGGGGTGTTTCCGGAGGCACTTCCGGTATTTCATAATCATCATCAGTGGTATTATTGATGATTTGATCGACAGGTGGCGTTGGCGTCGCCAAAGTAGTATAAATCTGTGATATTTTATTCGTACGCGGCGGTAATGGCGGCACTTCTTCACTTTCCACCTTTTTATCATCATTATTCAAGGTTATGTTATTGGAATCATCCTCAGGAGGCACTACAAACTCATAATCATCGTCCAAAGTGTCATTTTCAACCTTTTTGACATCTAGTGTATAAATACTAACGCCATCTGTGGTTTTACATTCATAATCAACTTTATTCACGGTTGTATCAATTAATTCACTTAATTTACTCGATGATAAACGTGTTTGTTGATAACGCGCGAATTTCTGACACTCGTAGTTACTCTCACAGCGTTTAAGTGTTGCCATTGGCAAACTCACCACTTGTAGTTCATCGGTGACGTCGCACGCGTCCATCTTGTGGTCGTCGGTCGGCGCCGATGTGTCTCGATTACCGCTCGCGATTGAACTGACGACGCTCGGCGACGCGTCGTCGACGTTACCACGCCGATTATTATTATCGTTACGTAAATCCGTAACAATGGCGCTGTTACATCGTGGCATCTCCACGATGCGATCGCCGTCAATTGTGCCGCAAGTATTACCGCCATTGTTCAATTTCTTTTGCAAGCGCATGCGTTTCTCCTGATTGCGCATCGCGATCGCCTTGGCGTCGAACGTCTTTGCTGCCACCTGGGGTTTTACCCCATCACTAACGCCACCAGATGGTGTTGATTCACTTTTAGGGGATTTTAGTGTGCATTTCTGTTCGAAGATGGCGATGGCTGCTTTGACACTGTTATTGCTTTCTTTAGCTTTTGTATCAATTTTCTTTTGTGTTTCTTTGGCACTGGGCCTGCGTTTTAGGTTCTGACTATTACGTTTGATCACTCGGGCTTTTTCGGTTGTAGTCGTGCCGCGTTGTTCGTCAAGCTCATTGTATTTCTTTGTCAATTCTTGGACTAAATTCAGTTTTGGTTCGGGTGCTTTTCGGCGATAAATCGAAGCGTTTTTTCGTATTTTGAAACTAATTTTCTTCGTGGGGCGTCGAGGGTTAACATCATCGGTGTTTTGATTGGACGAGGCGGAGCTTAATCTTGTCAATACTTCTTTTTTACTCTGAACGTCATTTTTGGTTGGTTTAACCTCAATTATTGACTTTTCCTCACATAACCTATCTTCTTCTTCATCTCCACCTGTGTTTTGTTGGCGTAGGAATAATTTCCGTGATTCCTCCAACTTTTTACGCACTTGTGAGAACGTTGAATGCTCCAGATTGAACTTATTCGTCGGCGTGGGCGATTTGATTGGTGTTATCGGCTTCTGAGTGATTGCAGGTGATTGTCCAGAACGAACGCTCGGCGCCGACTGAATGTTGTTGGTTGTGGCAGGAAATTGCCAATTCGGTTGACTTTGGGTCTGGGTCGCTGTCGCCATCACTGCAACAATATTCAAACATTAGCGAATAGCGTCAACACCGGCCTATCAATCATCGTTCGGCGTATTTTAGCTAAACAAATTGATGCGTGCTTTTGTTAGTCATCACGCTTCCTGGCATACGTGCGAAAACAACAACAATAGTGTCGAATTCATGCGATAAATATGAAGATATAGAAGAAGTTTACAGAGAATGAGGTGCTTTTTGGATGGCGGTATCATTTGCAATACAATACGCTGCACAACAAATTACGTATTGTCATCAACATGATCGCGAAATAATATTGATAAGTCACACTCATCCGAGTAGAAAATATTTTGTAATTGCATCTAGTGAACAAATCATTTTGACTCATAAGTATTGATAATCTATTCATAGTAATGTTATAAACTAGTTGTGCATCACAAGTGCAGTGTAGCGCCATCTATATTTGAACTATCCAACAAAAACTATGATTAATTTTCCATATTAATTATTATCCATTTTAACACCTTCTAAAATTATAATTTTTGATCTTTTAATAGTTATTCTCTTATTCAGGGCATAGACGAATCCAATAAGTCATAGATTATCAAAATCTGTCCGGCAGTTCTTGAGTTATAAGTGTTGTAACTAACACGACAATGTTATACCTATATGTATATAGGTATATAGATATAGAAGATTCTAAAGAATGTTTTTCTCCTTGTTTTACATGCCTACACAACTAAATTAATTTAGATTCATTTAAAATTGTAGTTTTTCCTCGTAAAACACTTCAAAAAGATTAAATATGGAATGAAAATTGATATAGATATTCAATCATAGTGATAGTTATACAATTCCAACCCAGATGGCGCGCGAATATACTCAGTATCGTGCAAGCTCCAACAACACTTCTAAAATGTGTCATTTTTATTGGTATGCAACCAAATTTACATCAAAACATCTGCATACTGAAATGCTCTACATTATTACTAAAATATAACTCCACACTAAACGCCATAACCGTTAATTATATCTCATAGCTTCCACTGTTATAAATATAATAATTAGCACGTGAATGGCAGACGTTATGCTCGATTAGACACAATCTCACAACATAAAACAAAAGACAGTCACAGCAAGCCATTAATACATTTCTTTCTTTCTGCTTCATTATACCGCCTGTGATTATAGTGTCTTCATTCACTACTTCCTCTTGTAAACGTTTCGATGCTTAAATTGTCACAATTAACCTAATAATACACACGCAAAAGTATAAAAAATAAATTAACACAAACAAATTCAGCTCCTCATTATGCGCGCTCGTATTTTTGATTGCATCGATTTAAAATCGCAGCGAATGGTAGTTGTACCACATTTGCCAGCGAATATTAAACTGGAAAGAGAACAATCGACGTTTTAAGGTTATTTGATTTGAGCTATAATAAAACAAAGCACCTGCAAGACATTGGCCTGATTAGCCTCACTGAAGAATCAAGATATGTGATCTGTGATCAGTGATAACAATTTAATTATATAGGATTAAAACCGGTAATGAAGAATTTTATCATGAAACGCATTCCAGAAACATAAATTTTATTTATCACTATGTATGCAACTAAATATTGTGTTAAATGTTTGTGTTATGCAACCCAACAAACACTTATTTTATTTTATTACTTTTCACACTTAAATTTAAGTAATCGCACTATTTAAGCCAAGAAAACGTTAAAAATCACTGAAAAATCATGATTTGAAATAAAATTTCACTAAATTTATTTAAAACAGACAATCTAGTTGAAGAATTTTAACGTGAAACGAGTAATAGCAATGTAAGAGTTAAATTTTTGTCTATATGCAACCCAACGTACAATTATTCCATTTTATTTTTATTTTCTCACATGAATTAAACTAATGCCACTATTTAACCAAAGAAAATACAAAAACTAGGCCAAACACTTGCTCCGGCTGCCTCAGATGCTAGCATATTGAGTTCACTTTCAAGAAAAGTGTTTCAGAGACATTCCAACGCCAAGTGCAATGTTTTGACTCTAATCGGAATATAATAAACTCCGAATGGTAATTGCCATCGTATAAAACGCTATCGCCGGCCGCCTTGGACATGGACATTGAACATGAACGTGAAATATAATAAAATTAAAGTGAATGTACTCATATAATTCTTGTGTCTTGCAGTGCTTAGATTGGGAACAGTGAATTCCTAGCTCTCCGTTACTATGACTATACTAATAAGGCAAAGAAAAAGGCGCTGCCTCGAAAAGTCGACCAGGAAGAAAGCACTTCTCGCTTCTTAAATAAATGTATCAGGTGGAGAATCACAGAATACGATCGAAAGAGAGTCGTGTGTCTGTCGGCAGTGAGTAATAAGCGAAATTGTTCAATGGACCATAAAGTTTACTCGACTTTTCGAACGCATTTTTTCATTTTGTGTGCAGTAAATACTTTTCCACGGAAATTAAAACTCATAATTGTCGCAGTACTATTTAACTAATCATAAAATGTTTAATGTGGTGAAATTATGAATGTTTGGAGACATTTCTAGGTAAAATACGGCGACATTGTAGTAAAAGTGGACTAACGACAAGAAATTATGTCGAAAATTAAGGACGACGGTTTGTTTTAAACATTTTAAATGTTTAGACACGTTTATAAGCATCTAGAAAATACTACACACGTAAGTGTAACATTTTACAACTAAAAAAACCTCAAAAACACGAATTATTTGTGTTGGTAATGAATATTGGCGGATTCATTATAGGCAACCCATTTTTCTTTGCTTTAAAAGTAGAAAAAACATGTTTTATTGTGTTTTTTTCTTTGGCAAACTTCTTGAAAGTAGCTTCTTCGTGTTTACGTTTACTCGTGACTCATCCCTGTAATATTCCGGTCGCTGAGAGGGCACTGCTACTCTAATCGTCCGCACTTACACGCGCCACGAAGAACAAGAACAACAAGTCCAAAAGGTTCAAGAAGCCGATGGAGAAAAACCGGCGCATCTTCACATCGCTTTCAACCTGTTATTAGCTGTTATTATTTAGCATTTGACCTTTTGCTTTTACATTTTGCAAATTCATCTGCTGTTCAATGTCTAAATATTTACAATAGACATAACAATCGACCCACGAAACGAAAAGTTTGTTTATTTTGCATTTCTTGCAATAATTTGAGTAAACAAATCGTAAAAACGTTAAAAATTCATTAGCAACCCAAAATACACCTAACTATACATACGTCACATCAATTTTTATGACATAGATGGCGTTGTTTGACAAATTAACCAAAAAACGATAATTTTAGCTCAAAAATGTGAAATCTTCAAGAAAAACCGCAATGTGTTTTTGACTTACTCTACGAGTTGTAATCGTGAAAGAAACCCATGACTAAACTGCTGTGTGACTTGTATTGCGACAGTGAAACGCAATTGACGCAAAACTCGCTTTCAAAGCGATATCAATCAATCGATGAGTCACCCTCGTGCCGGACATTATCGGACGATTAAAAATCAAAGTGCTCAAAAAAATAAAATCAAGAATTGAAAGTCGTTAATGCGTATATATAGAAAAGACGATACTTTTAAATCAGGTAACACTTAACTTACTTAGCATTTAATCGCAATTGACCGCGCTTAACTCTCAACTCATCTTCAAGCTGTCAAAAAGATGAAATTGAGCGTTTATAAATTGAAAATAAATTGGAAACTTGTTTAGAAAACAAATGAGACTGTGAATTGATTATAAACTGATTGAAATTTCAAAAATTTCGAAAAATAAAATAAAAAATTTAATAATATAAAGATTGTTAGTATATTTAAGTAGAATATTATGTTTTATACGTGATATATTGTTTATTTTTATTGATAAATTGTCATTGTAGCTGTCATTTACAATTTAGGTTATGTGTAATAATGTAGGCCAACCACTTTACACCTTCAAACGATCTAACGACACAACACTTACAAACAAATTTAATTCTCTTGCAACTTATGAATCGTTTTCTATTTTTAACTTTTAATCGATCCTCGCTGTAATTATTTACGATCATACATGATACATGTTCATAAAAGTTATGTTCGCTCATAAATTCCAAGTGTGATTAAATTTTTCGTTTTTACTAACAATATGTCTCGAAACCCGGCGAAATAAAAACGAAAACGTAAATTAAATATTTGTACATAAATTTTGTGTAAGCGGAAAAAATGTTAGTTTCACACGATTATTTTTTTCACTTAATTATTTAAGATTTGAGCAATACAACACGAAATTTCATTTATTCTATAAATAAAAAGTTTTCTTGCCTAATTATTATGTTTGAATATAAAAAGATTAAGAAATTAAACATTAAAGATTAAAAGGTGAGATTAACTCTTAAATCTTAAAAAATATCATAGATAATTATCATAGTGATTAGTAATTATAATTAGCATATTTCGTGTTTGATTAATGTTTGATAAATGCGTTATCACATGATGTTAATCATGATTTGATGGAATTTTTTGGTGAATTAATGATGTATAAATAAATAAGTCATAAAATGCTGAATAAACGATGTGTAAATAAAATGTAAATTGCACGAGTGAAAGGCTGGGAAGGATGAAGGATGAGAAGTTGAAAAAAACGTGATATTTTAACGGTGACGAGAACGAAAAATATTGTAATGAAATCATTATAAAAATAGAAAATAGAAGCGCAGCGAAACGTAAAGAAATCTGAAGAAAAGTGAAGACATCGAGATGATGAATATTTTGATTGAATTCACGCAAGACAAGGGAAACATGAGACACGAGCCACGAGACACGAGATGACAATGACAATTTGTAAACAAAATATACTCATATAAAACCATGTTATAATGATGGGAAAAACGAAATCGTGTTCAAAATTGATGTAACATTGTAACATTGAATTAGTTTTTTATTAATTACTCGTAAATTAATCAACTTAGGTCGATGTTTTCTTCGGAAATATGTCCAGCAGTAAATTCTCTATCAGAAAGTGTATTATATTGTATCATATTTCT